CAGATGACACTTTATGATTTTAGATGACCATGAAGAATCAATGAAAGAGGCTTCATCAGAGATATATTGGTATGCAACACTTTCTTGACTCAGGATTTACTTTACAAAAACTCAAGTGGTATGGATTGGCAGTAGAAAAATATAGTAGAAAAGTGTTATGCGAAAAACGGAAATTTGTCATGGAGTGCAACTTCTTTTAAGGTATTGAGGGTTAACTTTGCCATTGATCTCCAAAAAGTATTTCATTCACCAAAAATTATTTTTTGTTAGGTGATGTCTCACATGTATATAAGGGTATATATTTCAAGTTTGATTTTTCTCCGTCTAAAACAGTATATTTATAATAATAGATATTTCCAGAAATATTTATCAATATAAGCTGTAAAGACGATAATTAAAGATCTTTATAATCTAGAAAAGTGTATAGCCGTTAAAAACGACAAACTTCAGATATTCTACAATTTTGGAACACATTTACGTACTTGCTTGAATTGTAATTTTTCTCTTTTTTCCATTACCACTTTTTATTACCTAGAGTTTTGATCGTACATTTATATGCGGTGCTTCCTTTGAAAATTCTATCAGTTTTCTATTTATATATAATTTGTACCTAGAAAAAGCCAGATTTGAAATTAAAGATTGTAATATGTTTACTTGTAATATTACTAATATTAAATACCTGGTTTGATAAAATAGCCATAATGAAAAAACCTTTAGCAGATCGTATTAACTGAGATACGTAAACACCATAACTTAACCAGATGATAAACTACTGCGCTAGAATTGGAAGTTCACAATAGGAAAAGTGTATAGCCCTTTCAACAAGAAAAATCTATATGTAGATATAAAAAAAATGTCAGTATTAAATTGTGAACGAATGGAAAAGGCTCTGTTGTGATGAACGTTGAATGGTTTTGCTGTGATAATTAAAAGCATTGGACAATTTTTACTTTTAAACTGTGACAATTTATATATGTTCAGCTTTGCGTAAACATTGAAGAGTATATTTTTCACGCTATTGTTTTTATAGAAACTTAACCTAAAAGTAGATACCACTAAAGTTATGATTTTTCAAAAGGTAGAATTAAAGGAAAAAATCAAACTGTTTTTGAATAATAAGGAAATTGAAATCGATAAATATAATAAATATCTTGGTATATTTACTTGTAAACGTGGACCGTTCTTGTCTACTAGTAAATTTAACAAAAAGAACAAGCAACTAAAGCTATGTATGGATTAAAAAAATAAAGAATGCAGAAAAACAACTTATCTATAGAATATAAGATAATTTGTTTAAAAATTAAGTTGAACCTGTCATATTATTTGGATCAGTAAGACGGGGTGTTGAAAACTTATATTTTCTTGAAAGTATACAATTACGATTTTGTAAAACTATATTGTATTTGAAGCAAACCACAACCAACTGTATTTTGTGGCGACCTGGGAATATTTGACAATCATCTAACAAAATTCTTAATAAATTTAAACCGCATAGATTCATAACTATAATATTAACAATTTATACGATAATGAGTAAAATTTAATATTCTCTAACAATGAACAAGTTTACACTAAAAATTTAGCATTCATATCTTTATTTCTTACATGTTTACTTCATAGATTATGGTTATGAGTCTAAGTGGTATAAATTCACTAAGAATTATTTAGATGTATATAAATAAATACTCAATAAAGTATACAATACTTCCACGGCTTTGACTTTGTTTACCTTTCTACTATGAAAGATACAAAACGTTTTTATTGCCACTGGATCGGTAGCGGTACTGGCGAACTGTCAGTCCGTGCAATCACTTTTTGTCAAGAATCTACTAATACGGTACGTGTATGATTTAGATGGTACTATGATTTAGGTAAAATGATTAGTTTTGTATATTATCTTATTGTACTAAAATTGAGGTAGCTTTCTCAAGCAGATTTCAAGTGAACTTAAAGAAACATGTTAAACTCTGCAACACTCTTTATGTGCCTGTCCCTAGCGAGGAACCTGTTGGCGTTGCTATACGTTATGGGGTTTGCTCTTTGCTGAAGGATGTACGGTGACCTATAGTTCTTCTACTTCATATGGTCTTCTTATTTTAAAATCAAAGGATCCACTGGAGGTGTATATTACAAACATACATTATCTCCTGTTCATCAAGTTATACATGTAAATACAGAATATGCTACTTAATTGTCAGTGTGTGCACATATTTACAAAAAGAAAAAGAGTGCTATTACTACTTCCTTAAATTTAGAATAAGGACATGATCGACAATGCAGGGAGAAAGGGATGATAATTTTGGCCGTCATCGGAAAAGACGGCATATTTAAATAAGAATCTTGTATTACGACATCGAAAATTAAACCACACATAACAGCCCTATCCCACCAGTAACATAGGGAGATGTGATATTATTGCCAATGAGACAACTCTCCACCGAAGACCAAATAACGTAGATGTTAGCAAAGATAAGTACCTGTTGTGTGTTCATTTTATGTGTACGACAAATACAATAACAAGAACTAAAGAAAAATAAAAAAATATAGCTTTTATTCGAGTAAATGCCCGTGTGCTTGATGTTCTCATGTGCTTTATTTAGAGCTCACGAGGAATATTGAGAGTGCATATGATATATTTCTTTATGTTACTTTTTCATACACGCTTGAAGTGGAAAGCCAAATATATCAGGAAACTTCGATGGTTGCAAAATAATCTTAACTATACAAGCAAATACATGACGGGACAGAAAACACCCTGCTAGAGTAGAACCTTCAATACTTAGCGAAAATAAAGCGTTGTGACAAAAGTTGCGATGTTAGGACATTTGTGTTTTGCAATTTCATCTACATTTTGATACTTTGATGAGCTATCATAATCAACAATTGATTCGATTCCTTTGCTTTGAGTCCTGTTTGAGCAAGTCATGTTTATCACAGTCGTATTTTTGTAATTAAACAATTAAAATTGTGTGCCTTGGAATTTTACTTACCCTTCCGGGGAACTCTATCTGCAATCTACCCCGGTTTTGTGGGTCTCAAGTCGTTTGATTTCTATATACAATCATATGTATTTGTATGTAATGTGATAAAAGCTCCTTATAGGGCCCTTTAATTGGAAATAAAATATTCTTATTCTTATACACAGTTGTGGTGACTGTTGTTTGTCTCTGTGTTTTAGTTTTTTACCATGGTATTGTCTGTTTTGTTTCAACTTTTTTTATTGTTCCCTTGGTTTCTTATGCTTTTTAAAACAGAGATGGAGTAAAAATCCAGTCAATACGGGACAATTTGGTAATTCTATTTGCCAAAAAAAAAATCAATAAAACATAATTAGTGTGGAAAAATCGTTTGGCTTTTCGATAATGGAAACAATTTCTGTGAAATATCAATTGTAACGCAATTAATGTAACCCGAAGACGTAATGTTTTCATTGATTGCAAAAAGGGTAATATAAAAACACAACAAATCGAGATTTTCTATGTTAATAATTGACAAAGGGACGCTGAAATGGTACCGAGTGACATAGAAAGGTTTTGCACCCAACTGACTGAACATGACTGAACATGTCTTTTCTCTGGATAAGGACAAACATATTCTGCCTCACATAGGGAAACTTAAGTATATAAACCTTATAAAAATGAGATTTGGTATTGATTGGAGTGCGAAGTGAGAAAAAGACATATATTATCGGAATATATTTCAAGTCAGTTGGGTGACCCTTTCTGAAGAATGGTCAACCTTTTTAAAATGATGTGTTAAATCTTATTCATAGATGATATCAATTAATCTGCTATGACTGTAATCCTGGGTAATTTTGGTTAAACCTTTTCCCTTTTTAATTGTGAATAACTTCTGAATATCTCTTAAGCATTAATCGCTTAACACGGAAGAAATAGGTGATCTACAAGGTAAATTGACTACTGATACGTTGCATGTTAAATGACTCCATTAGGAGAGGTTTTCGACTTAATCGATGGAAGTAATGCGAAACTTGGACTGTTCTTCTGTGTTTTTTCACGAAACCATCGACTAGATATAACTATTGATATAATACAATCAAAAATCAGGAACAAGACGAAATTACCAATAGTGCATTTTAGGGATAAAAAATGATGCAAAGGTTCTTAAACCAGCATGGATCGTTACATTCTCCATCACAGGATAAATATAAGCGTCTCCTTCAAGAAATGATGTAGCTGTATTATATGGCGTCCTTATTCTTCCAGAATGAAAGTGTACACATTTCCGTCCTCATTCCTTCATGATGAAAATGTATTATTTGGCACCCTCATATTTACCGTCTTCATTCAATTAGGATAAAGCTGTATTATTTGGCGTTCTCATACTTTAATTCATTCAGGATCTAGCCGTTTTAGTTGCCGTCCTCCTTCTTCCAGAATGAAGCTGTATTAGTTGGCGTCCTCATACTTTCATACTTTCAGGATCTAGCTGTATTGTTTGGCGTACTCATTCTTTTAGAATGAAGCTGTATTAGTTGCTGTCTTCCTTCTTCTAGAATGAAGCAGTTTTATTTTGCGTTCTCATATTTTCATATCATTTCAAGATCTAGCTGTATTATTTGGTGTCCTCATTTTTACAGGGTACATCTGTTTTCATTAAGAGTCCTCTTTCTTCAAGGATGAAGCTGTTTTATTTGAAGTCATTAATTGAAAACCAAACAATACCAAGAGTATATAGATGTATTGTTTGGCGTCTTAATTCGTGCAGGATTTTTCTGTTTTATTTACAGAGCTAAGTTGACGACCTCTAAGCTTCGATCTCAGTGTTTGTTGAGACAAATCTTAGAGACTATTTTGCTTTTTCCAAGTAACTTTTAAAGATGGACGATACAGAGCTTGGCACATTGCGACATATAAAATCTTTTACTTAGAAAATTCAAGTCTTTTGATATATTTGATTATATTTTTTGTTGATTGAAGTAATTACGTGATAACTCAAGTTCAAGACAATTACAATGGAATAAAATTAATCTCAAAACATATAATACACATTTTTTATTACAAATATTAATCTAAATAAAACCAAACGAACTAAAAATATAAACAATCTAATACAAAACGATCTGATATGATATTTGTTATAAATAAAAGCCTGATACCAAAAATATACATTTTTTTCTATTCCAGAAATAATTATAAAGAATTCCTGTAAATGACTTTAATTGCTGTATTAAAAAAATATATTTCGGATTATCTATCTTTCACTGGATTTCATAAGATATAACAACAATATTGTAAAACAAAAGTCCATACAAAGATAGATAAAACCTCACACAGTTCACTTTCTATCTCACTTAATCAGACAACCTGTTCCCCCTGTAAAAAAGGTAGATAATATGGAATAAAACGGGAATGAAATATCGAAACCCTGAGGACATTTTATGAAAAACAAATCAAAGGAAACAATAAAGCTGTACAGAAAAAGGAAGAATGATGTATACACACACCGAACAATTCACTTAAACCAATGCTTAGTACAAACATTTAACAAATGAGCTGCGCCAAGAGTCCCGATAAGCCCGTATTGTTGCGAGAATAAAAGGTAATATTCAACTGGCATTTAGTCAGAAGTTAGTGAAATGGCCGTGTAAAAAAGCACGCATGAGAATATCTTTGTGTATAAATATTGCGTCAGATGTGACTGTTAAAAGTCACATTCCTCAGAAAAAAAGAGAAAAAAATTAATAATCAAGAACAGAAAACGAACAAAACTAAAATAATAGATTTTTTTTTTTTATTGAAAAAATACCCAGAATTTTAGAAACTTAAACACAAAGCTCTAATTAGTATTGAAAAAGAAAATACAACTTAGTATGCAAGCCTTAACTATATCATCTAAATCATCCGAATTAAAATGAGTAATACACAATTTTTCTGTCAAAAAACTTTAGATCTTGTTAACAGCCAATTGCCCATTTTCTGATCAAATATGTTGTCTAGTATGCTGTCTACACAAGAACCAAATAAGGCATTATATTACAATTGATCTTTGTCAAATAAATTAAATATTATTTTGTCTAAAAGTTTTCCTGGGAAAAAGTCAAAAGATTGAAGACGTCACTATTGTTACGATATCAGAATCAAGAAATTTTCTTTCACGCCGATTTGCTAATATACAGTAATGTAAAGATTAAATTATAAAAATTATCTTTTTGTGAAAGGGTAAACACATTTTAAAAATGGTGACTAATATATATATATATATACATATAGTTTTCTTGTTTATCAAAAATTAAAAGTTAAAAAAAAAAACAACATTATAGATATATACATTTTGTACATGTAAATAATTGATAGAAATACTTTACATTCCTATAAGGAAAATCTTATCAATCTCGTTCTGGTATTAAACCCACATACTCAAGTGTAAAGATCTGTTGTTACTTATTTCTTTGAAAACTGTCATTGAAATGATTATAAAAAATATTAGAGTACAAGTATTTTCTTGACAAATTATCAGCTCAAAGTAATAAAAAAAAAGTTTCTCATAGTATCATAAATGGATGTATTACTGATTGACATGTAAATAACAACGTTTTGTAAATTTGTGTTACTCATTTGCCCATTCAATTTTGAATTTCAAAGAATAAATTTTAATGTTGGGGTACTTTTTAAATTACCACATCAAAAAACCATATGTAAAATTTTATTTTTTCAACCGATATGAAATATTATTTCTCTAACAAAAATTTATCAATCTTCAGAGGTTTCGTCTCATTATTTTTTATCAGATTTATAATTTGGTATTTAGTCTTTTAATTTACGGAGGCATTTTTTAAAAAGGTTATTAGTATATAGAGATTATCAGTCGTAAGAATATGTATAGTCTATTGTTTTTTAACTACGTTCTGTTATTCCTTCAATTCTATTTCTTTTGATTCTGTGTTATGATATTAAGTAATTAAAATAACATTAAAATAATATTTATATACTTCACAAATATAATTCTATACAAAAATAAACATACATATTAAAAATATTATTCGAGTCATGGAATGATACTTAAAATAAGTATACTCTAAAAGTAAACGAGACTGGAACCTGCAATCAAAATCATAATAAGGAAGTAAGATCCGCTGATGCCACTGGCTGTACCTGTCCTTTTGTTTGTGCTGAGAGAATAAGATGTCATGCTTTGTTTTTCTGAAATAAATGAGATATATTCAGAAAATTGAATATTTTAACATTTCGATCCCAACTTTCATAAAGCCAAGATGACTTTTTGTCGTCGGTTTAACCGATTTAATTGTACAGTCTTCTCTGTAATTCTACTGGTCAAGATATAAAAAGGAGGTAAGAATAACTCAAACGATCATAGTCAATGCTTCGTCGATAGGCAGGTGATTGTTGTCTTTCTGGTTGAAGACAAATTATTTGTAGTTCTACCTTAATCTGTTCAAATCATCAATTCGCTACATTATAATTCGAAACAAGACTTAAACGTTTTAATTTTGTACTGGGTTGATATTTGATATTTTTCTGGGCACTACTAAGACCGATTTTTTTGGAACTGATTGTGGTGTAGCTATAGGAGCTTTTCGCAAAGTGCAGCACTGCTATAAGATTAAAAGACGACATGATTTCATATCAGCAGGTCAGTTATTTGAGCTTGCATTTATTTCCGGCATTTAAAAAACAATCTTCTCGTCGTTTTTCTTTTTTTGCAATGGCATTGTCAGTTTTAGGTCAAATATGTCAATTTCAACATGTTTATGACATCACATGGACATAACAAGTGACTTTTCTTATATTAAGTGTCTAGATTATATAAAGATGTTCATTAAACAATAAACTTAACATATTTTTAAACGGCATGTGTAATTTTTACTATTTATTCAATTTCAGGGGCCAAATAAAGGCTAAGAAGTTAGCAATATCCTTTAACTTTACGTTCTGCTATATAGATGATGTTCTCTCACTAAATAATACAAAATTTGGTGACTATGTTGAACGAATCTATCCCATCGAACTAGAGATAAAGGATACTACAGATACAGTTAAGTCTGCCTCATATCTTGACTTGCATCTAGAAATTGACAATGAGGGTCGGTTGAAAACAAAACTTTACGACAAAAGAGATGATTTCAGCTTCCCAATTGTGAACTTTCCATTTCTATGTAGCAACATTCCAGCAGCGCCTGCATACGGAGTATATGTCTCCCAATTGATAAGATATTCCCGGGCTTGTATTTCCTATCATGATTTCCTTGGTAGAGGATTGCTGCTCACAAGGAAGCAAGTAAACCAAGAGTTCCAAATGGTGAAGTTGTAATCATCCCTTCGTAAATTTTACGGACGCCATCACGAGTTGGTTGACCGTTATGGAATAACCGTTTCACAGATGATATCGGATATGTTCCTTATGTCGTAACTACAATACCCTTCCCTTTTCACGAATGTGACCTACCGAATTAGACTATTTACCAGATTTGTAATAACATAAGCAACACAACGGGTGCCACATGTGGAGCAGGATCTGCTTACCCTTCCGGAGCACCTGAGATCACCCCCAGTTTTTGGTGGGGTTCGTGTTGCTTAGTCTTTAGTTTTCTTTGTTGTGTCATCTGTACTATTATCTGTCTGTTTGTCTTTTTATTTTTGGCCATGGCGTTGTCAGTTTGTTTTCGATCTATGAGTTTGACTGTCCCTCTGGTATCTTTCGTCCCTCTCTAATCGTACCTCCTCGTTTACCCATAATTTTCTAGACACATCCAATTTTATTCATATTTGCTTTTTGACCTGCAGTTTCACTGTAGAGGTTTAGAATACATGTTTCTTTGACTATTTAATAATGAATCTAGATTCAAATTCAGGAAGTCAGATATTCAATTTCTTATAATCGTTTTTAAGATTTTCTTGTGTAAACTAACTACAAATTGGAATCAGTTTCTGAAAACCGTTTTCTCAAGACTCAATTCCATAAAAATTAAATGTGTGGGGTATTCGTACATCTGAAAGACAAAAATAAACACAGCCACCTCTAGTGGCAACATAAATTCTTCAACAATAGCCAGTTGTTCAAGAAATATGTCATTTTCTTAATAAGTCCCAAGTCTATCAAAGTTGGGAATAAATTAAATAGACTATGTTAAAAAATCTGCTATCAACAAAAACATCAATATATTACAAAAAAAACTCATCAAAGATACCAGGCTTATAATTTTGTAATCCAGGCAAGCGTTTCATCTACAAAAGATTCATCCGTGACGATATAAGTTCAAATGTTAAAAGGCCAAAAAAGTTTGAGGTGGAAGAGCATTAAGGACGTATAATTCCAGAAAGTAACCTATTTCTGGGATAAATAAAAAGTATTTTGAGCAATTTAAAGTTTTATAAACAATTAATATATTAATATTACCATATCAATGATAACTGATGTTTTCAGAAGTACTGACTACTGGGTTAGTGATACCCTTGGGGAGGAAACCTCAACAAGCTGTGGCATCGACCAAATGGTTGTTAAAAACTCATTAAAGATACCAGGATTATAATTTTGTATGCGTTTCGGCAACAAAAGACTCATCCGTGATGATATAATCTAAAAAGTTAAAAGACCACCACCCCCCCCCCCCCCCCCAAAAAAAATCACGCAGATAAAGAGCATTGAGGACCTAAAATTCTAAAAGGTTTTATCAACTACAACTAAAGTAATCTATTCCTGGGATAAAAAATCATTAGTATTAAAAAGCAACTACAGACGAGGTTCCTATCATCTGTTAAAGTTTTCAATTCGTAATAAAACATTTATCTTCACTCTGCTATAATTTAATATAATTTTCCTCTAAAATTTAAATTTATTTGTATCAACACTACATTTTACTGTGATTTATCGCATTTCAAAAATAAAACATTGGACAGAATTGTTATTCAAATTATAATACATTACAACAATTTATTCCATGTCCATTTACATTAATTAAATGTTCTTTTTTTTTTAATTTAATGTACAAACCAAAGAAAGATTTCCAAAAAAAACCACAGAACTATATACACCTATGATTTAAAAAGATCAATAAATCACCGGAGACCTTTCTCTGTACTTATGTGAGAGGAACATTTGATTAATTAATAAATGCAGGCATTTTGTCCGGCAGGAACAATATATATAAAATATATGAAAAATATTGATTTCAAAATTGTTACTGTCTGACAAACAATTGTTATAACGCAAAATATGACAAATTAGGTCCTAGTTTATACTTTTGATATACTCATACAACATTTTAGACAAAATAATGCTCTTCAAATTAATAGTTTCAATAGTCATACTTTTATTTAAGACATAAGTTAATGCATTAATTCAATGATTATTAGCCGCTTATATCATGTGGTCTTGTGGTACTGTTATTACCGCAAGTGCAGAGACTGTGATGTTAGAGACGTTTCTCAGCAGGATCATATAAAAGGTGGTGACATTTGTCTTGTCGCTTCACCCACAAGCATGTTGCTTATATAACTTTAATAATAAATTGATGTGTTGGTACCAAAGAATGCCTCCGGCAGCAGACAAATTGTATATTTCTTACAATCGAAATGAAAGTGGGGTGTAAAAGGGACATATAATGGCAACATTGTGTTTATTTTTGTATTGTTTGGTTACTATGGCGAAACTGAAAAAGTGGGACAATTCAGAACCGCAATGTAAAAATGTAAAAGTAAAATTCAAACTTGTTATCATTAAAAAGTCAGTCTACAAGAAGGAAACAAAAAATTATTATTCACCCAAGTTCCGAAAATCAGCTACAGCTCTGCAGACATCGGAAAAAGGACAATTTCTTTGAATTTTCTTAGGCTGTAATTTAGCAAAAATATGGTCAACCCTAATCAACCATCCGCAAGCAAGAAAAAAGTTTAACAGCTTTTTGATTTTTGAGGGACGGAATAACACATTCAAGGAATAACATTAACGGTACCAAGGAAGGATGGCAAGACAGAAATACGACCTGTAAAATACTATATTCCCCGACCATGTAGTGGTGGGGTCATACAAATTTGTACTGACCTGGCTGATAGTAAAACTGACATGTAACAAAACTAGGTTTTGTGTCAAGAACAATGTAGTCCCACATTGCCTTTACATCTAAACATGTTTTCGATTTTGAAAGCTGAAATTATAAATAAAGCACTAAATAAACAAATATCACATTGCACATAAAATTGGAACATAATCATCATAAAATATCTGTATATGAACAACACAAGAGTGCACACGCTGAAATATCTCGCCTGCTTTTCTGACCATTAAATTTATGTTGAAAGTCTTAAAGATAAACGTTTTACTACAAGTATACCATAAAATTAACATTTGTAAATAAACATGGCAATGAGGTCAAGGTCAGATAAATCCTTTCAGAAAGATATATAAAAATATAAAGATGTGGTATGATTGACAATGAGGACAACTCTCCACCAGAGACAAGATGACATAGAAGTTAACAATTATAGGTCACCTAACTGTCTTTAACAATGAGCAAAACCCATAACGCATAGTCTGCTATAAAATGCCCCGAAATGACGAATGTTAAACAATTCAAACGAGAAAACTAGCGGTCTGATTTATGTAACTAGAGGCTCTCAAGAGCCTGTGTCGCTCACCTGATTCTACTTTGGTTTTGGAAATCATGTTAAAATAGATTAAAATCATAACAGATACCCTAATAATGAGTGAGGCCAAATTTGGTTTAATATTGGCCCTGTTAGTTAATAAAAAATCCTGGTGGCCATCTTGAACAGTAAATCAGCAACAAAGTAGCAACACTTCATCAGTACCTCATAAGAAACTATTATGCCATGTTTGGTTTCATTCCATTCAGTGCACCTCTAGAAGAAGCATTTGTATGTATTTCCAATATGGTCTTATGTTTAAGGAAGTCCCCCCACTGGCAGCCATCATGGATGAAGGATCAGCTTCAAAGTAACAACACTTAGTCAGCACCTCATAAGGAACATTCATGCCATGATTGGTTTCAATCCATTCAGTGGTTCTGTAAAAGAAGACATTTGTATGTATTGTCCATAGGGTCCTTTGTTAAACACTGTCCCCAGCTGGTGGCCATCTTGGATGATGGATCGGCTTCAAAGTAACAACACTTGGTCAGCCCTTCATAAGGAACATTCATGCCATGTTTGGTTTCATTCCATTCAGTGATTCTCTAAAAGAAGACATTTGTATGTATTTCCCATAGGGTCCTATGTTAAAATAAGTCCCCCGATGGCGGCCATCTTAGATGATGGATCGGCTTCAAAGTAACAACGCTTGGTCAGCAGCTCACAAGGAACATTCATGCCATGTTTGGTTTCATTCCATTCAGTGGTTCTCTAAAAGAAGACATTTGTATGTATTTCCCGTAGGGTCCTATGTTAAACTAAGTCCCCCGCAGGCAGCCATCTTGGATTAGGGATCCGCTTCAAAGTAACAACACTTGGTCAGCACCTCATAAGAAACATTCATGCCATGTTTGGTTTCATTCCATTCAGTGCACCTCTAAAAGAAGCATTTGTATGTATTTCCAATATGGTCTTATGTTAAAGGAAGTCCCCCCGCTGGCAGCCATCATGGATGAAGGATCAGCTTCAAAGTAACAACACTTAGTCAGCACCTCATAAGGAACATTCATGCCATGTTTGGTTTCATTCCATTCAATGGTTTTCTAAAAGAAGACATTTGTATGTATTTCCCATAGGGTCCTATGTTAAAATAAGTCCCCCGATGGCGGCCATCTTAGATGATGGATCGGCTACAAAGTAACAACACTTGGTCAGCACCTCATAAGGAACATTCATGCCATGTTTGGTTTCATTCCATTCAGTGGTTCTCTAGAAGAAGTTCAAAATGTAAAAAGTTAACGCCGAAGCCGGACGCCAAGTGATGAGAAAAGCTCACTTGGCCCTTTGGGCCAGGTGAGCTAAAAAACAATGAACGAAATACAAATATGCAACAACCGACAACCACTGATTTGCAGGCTCCTGACTTGGGACAGGCAATTATAGAATGTGGCGGGGTTAAACAAGTTAGAGGGTCCCCAACCCTCCCCCTATACATGGGACAGTGGTGCAACAGAACAACACAAGAACAACTGTACAAAACAATAAACAAAAAAAAACAAATATGGAAAACAGCAACAAACGACAACCACTCAATTACAGACTCCTGACTTGGGACAGGCAAATATAGAATGCGGTGGGGTAAAACATCTTACCGGGTGCCCAAACCTCCCCGTACCTGGAACAGTGGCGTAACAGTACAACATACGAACAAACTATAATACTCAGTTAAAAAGGGCTTAACTCATCAGATCGATACAAAGCAGAAAAACAAATATCAAAAACACAGATCGGACGTTGCAGGGTATCTATACATCCCTACAACCAAAGGACACTAAGTACAGATCTGAGAGTTACTGACAGCTAGTTCAAAGCCAATAACAATAATAAAACAAGAGTGCACACGCTGAAATGTCTCGCCTTCTTTATTAATCATTGATATTATGTTGATAGTCCTAAATATAAAGCTTTATTACAACTGTCACATAAACTTAACATTAACCAAGTAAACTAAACATTGACCAATGAACCATGAAAATGAGGTCAAGGTCAGATGAACCATGCTAGGCAGGCATGTACAGCTAACAATTCTTCCATACAACAAATATAGTTGACCTATTGCTTATAGTTTAAGAAAAACAGATGAAAACACAAAACTTAACACTGAGCAATGAACCTTGAAAATGAGGTCAAGGTCAAATAAAACCTGCGTGACTGACATATAGATCATAAAATATTTCCATACACCAAATATAGTTGAACTATTGCATATAGTATTAGAAAAAAAGACCAAAACTCAAAAACTTAACTTTGACCACTGAACCATGAAAATGAGGTCAAGGTAAGATGACACCTGCCAGCTAGACATGTACACCTTACAATCATTCCATACACCAAATATAGCTGACCTATTGCATGCAGTATTAGAAAAAAAGACCAAAACCCAAAAACTTAACTTTGACCACTGAACCATGAAAATGAGGTCAAGGTCAGATGACACCTGCCAGCTAGACATGTACACCTTACAATCATTCCATACACCAAATATAGTAGACCTATTGCATACAGTATAAGAAAAACAGACCAAAACACAAAAACTTAACTATAACCACTGAACCATGAAAATGAGGTCAAGGTCAGATGACACCTGCCAGTTGGACATGTACACCTTACAGTCCTTCCATACACCGAATATACTAGACCTATTGCTTATAGTATCTGAGATATGGACTTGACCACGAAAACTTAACCTTGTTCACTGATCCATGAAATGAGGTCGAGGTCAAGTGAAAACTGTCTGACGGGCATGAGGACCTTGCAAGGTACGCACATACCAAATATAGTTATCCTATTACTTATAATAAGAGAGAATTTAACATTACAAAAAATCTTAACTTTTTTTTCAAGTAGTCACTGAACCATGAAAATGAGGTCAAGGACATTGGACATGTGACTGACGGAAACTTCGTAACATGAGGCATCCATATACAAAGTATGAAGCATCCAGGTCTTCCATCTTCTAAAATATAAAGCTTTTAAGAAGTGAGCTAACGCCACCGCCGCCGCCGCCGCCGCCGCCGGATCGCTATCCCTATGTCGAGCTTTCTGCGACAAAAGTCGCAGGCTCGACAAAAATCATGTATCTAAGACTAAAGTATCCAATGTTCACCTTACAATTATTCAATTTATCAAATATAGTTGACCTTTTGCTTATGATAATTGAAAAACAAACCAAAACAAATAAACTTAATATTGACCAATGAACCATGAAAATGAGGTCAAAGTCAGATGAAACCTGCCAGACTGACGTGAGCCCTTACAATCATTCTGTACACCACATATAGTTGACCTACTGCTTATAGTATCTGAGAAACGGACCTAATCATGTAACTTTAACCTTGATCACTGATCCATGAAATGAGATCGAGATCAGGTGAACTCTTTCTAACGGACATGCAGACGTTACAATGGAACCCATGTACCAAATATAGTTATCCTATTACTCTATTAGTGAGAAATTCACATGACAAAAAAAACTTTATTTTTTTTTCAAGCAGTTGCTGAACCATGAAAATGAGGTCAAGGACAATGGACATATGACAGACGGAAACTTCGTAACATAAGGTATCTGCATACAAGGTATGAAGTATCTAGGTTTTCTACCTTTTGAAATATTAAGCTTTAAACAAATAGTTTATATCGCCGACGTAGCCGGATGGTAAACCCTATGTCTCGCAGTCAAGACAAAAATTGGGATCCTTTCAAAAAGACAGCAATCCAGCAACAATAACAAATCGTAATAAAACACTGATGTAAATGGTCTTTAAGATTATGCATCCCCCCCCCCCCCCTCCCCCCAAAAAAAAGAGAAAACAAAGCAAGCTCTTCACAATGAGGAAATGAGATCGTTGAACAGAGGTAGTGATCAATTTCTCCACAAATATTGATATTAATCATCAAGTTTTTTTCCTTGAAAACACAGTGGCAGAGTAAAATCTGCTATTATAAAAAAATGTTGAGCATTGGCAATCATACCATATCTACTTATTGTGGTACAACTTCCCACCAGAGACCAAATGACGTAGAATTTAATAACTATAGGTCACCGTACGGCATTCAACAATGAGCAAAAAACATACCGCAAAGCAAGTTGTAAAAGGTCCTGATTTGACAAATGTAAAACAATTCACAAGAGAGAATTAACTTCCTGATTTATGTAAAAACAATAAAGTAAAAAGATATGATGCAACATATTAACTAATCATAGATACCAGGATTATTGCCGCTTCATTACAGGCATCTTACTAAATCAGGTACATACAGAATGCAGCTGGGTTTTAAATGTTTAAGGGCGTTCAAAACTAGTCCTAACTTGGCACAGATGTGAAACACCACAAAATAAGTATAAACTATAAAAATAACTTGAAAGAGGCTTCTCATCAGATAGACACAAAGCATACAAAAAAAAACCTCAAAAAAACTTAAAAGACATTAAATACCGATCTGAGAGTACTCGCATTTACTAAAAGCTCATTTTTTGTAACCCTATAAATACAGTATGCGCTTAACCTATACGATATAAAAACACTAATAATTGATAGAAAAGAATCAAATATTACGTTGGACAATAAGCTTATTTTCAATGCTGAATATTAATAATAACACAGTGTGCTAGTGACCTAAAAGATATATACGGGGTCAATAAAATCCATATGGGGTGAGACCGAGCCTTTATCACTAACAAATAAAGGCAATCAAGTTTACTATCAATGAATTATTCGTCATGCAGTTCAAGTTTGTTCAAGTGTCAAATAAGGTCAATATTACCGAGGCATCATCTGCATCAGGTAACCTAGCCCTACAGCAAAAAAGTAAAACTTGTGCACATGTAGTCTTTAACTGCTGATTAAACAAGTATGCACAGAAATACTTAAATCAGCTTACTCAATATTTACAGGGAAAGTAAAATTTGAGATGAAAACAACACACTCGAAAGATTTTGTGGTCAACGGAGACAGCTTGTTTCAGAGGAGAAAATATTAAAAAAAAAAAATAAATGTTATGACAATAACTTTCAATGGCCGTTTATTCCATATAATATGCACCTTAGCTAATTAGAAAACATAAATTTTAAGTCTCTCTATATATACATTTTGTACCTGATTGAAATAGAAGCTTAAAGTTTTGCCACTAAAATCTAAACGTTGTACTCTAGAATCTTTCTGTAGTGCTTCCATATTCGTACAGTGGTAGCCAGTTGGTAAATCAACATACATCATCCCCATTCCATTATCTCCAAAACCATCATACCTGCAAAAATGGTAAAATAGTGAACAGTGTAGAATGCTTTCTGTTCTAATAAAAACTAGAAATATAAGTTCTTTGCCAATAACGATGAATTAATTTAAGATCATACAACATGTATTATTCTACTACTTTTTGGGAGTGTATTGGCAATTTCAGAAAAAGACGATCTTCACTTTTTGAACCTGAGGATAGTACAAATTCTGATCAAGAATCAAGCAGTACTAAAAATTTGCACTTACAGTACTGATGGAATTTTTTAAATTACTTTCTGCACTAACAATTCTTGAAATCAATTTATTTTCAAATCCGACTGCACATGTATTAGGAATTGTCAAATAAAGATTGCATAATGTTCAAATTGTTGCTGAAATGATAAAATTAAATTAACATGCTTAAATGCATTTTTCAGCAAAAATAGTCAGAAACTTATTGTCAATATAATGGAATTCAATGTGACTGTCATACAGGGGATTAAGATGGCTGCCAATGGAGTAGTGAGTTGATTTTCAGCTCTGCAGTTTTTGGCAATTTAAAGCTGGTTTTTGAAGGAATTTATTAATGGAAATCATATCATGATGTTTGGAATTTGATGAACTTTACAGGAATATGATTTTCTTCACATTTTGTTGAAAGATGGATTTACTATAGTGGAATTATATATTTTGGATTGGAAAAGTATTTGTGATTTATTGATTTTTCTGAGCTGTGTTGTCTGTATTACAACCATGCCTGGGGATAATAAAAGTGTAAAAACTGTACAAACTATGTTAGCAGCTAAAAAGCCTGGGAGCAATGATTCTTCTAAAGACTCTACAAAGGAAAAACCACCCAAGCAGAACAAACGATCCCATTCAGATGTTGCAAATGAGAGTGTAGAAGGAACTGACTTGACTGGTATTCAAAATGATTTAAGTGAAATTAAAAAATCTCTTCAGGGTACAGTTACAAAGACTGATCTTAATAGTGCTATGGTTAATTTAGTACAACAAAAGGACTTAAAAAGTTTAGTTAGTGACATTGTCCAGAAATTATTAGATCATTTTGAAGAGAAGATCACCAGTAAGTTTGAGTGTAAAATAAGGGAGGCAACTGGAAAACTTGATGATAAGTTAGATACATTGATGATAGAGAATGAGAATCTGAGGGAAAGAATCAGGGCAAAAGATAAAGTTATTGATAACTTAGTGGAAAAGGTTGGGGACATTAATAACAGATCTATTGATGCAATGAAGTTAGCCAATTACAATGAGCAATACAGTCGTAAACATAACATAAGAATGCTAAACTTTCCTGAAAAAAGGGGTGAGAACTTGAAAAAAGCCTTTGTTGAACTAGTAAATAGTGACCTAAATGTAAATATTGAGCCCAGTGATGTGCTAGCCATCCACAGAATACCTGGAAAAGAAGGTTACCAGAAGCCTGTTATCGTGAAGGTTAGAAACACTGACACTAAAATACGGATAATGCGACAAAAAAGATCCTTGAAAAATGAACTTAAATTTCATGATGATATAACACAACGCAATATTGGACTTATGGCAAGACTTAAGAACACTGAAAAATTTGAAAATGTATGGTTTTACAACTGTAACGTGTATGCCAAAACTGAAACTAGTAGCAGAATAAGATTTGACCTGTTTGACAATGTAGATGAAAAAATGAAAAAGAAATTGAAAGAGGGAACTTAATCAATCTTGTTTTGTCAGTTACATCATTTAATTTATTTTTGAATAATGTCCAGCTTTTTATTAATTTCAATAGATAGATATAAATGTAAAAGATAATTGCTGAAGTAAAAAGTGTTTTATATCAGTCGTGAATTACATATTCCTATATAAATAGTTAAGAATATAAGAGATATTCATCTTGATAAATTTGTTTAAAATAAATTATACTGTCACTATACAGTAAAGGGGAAATAACTCTAACATTAATAATGATATAAATATTCAATTTTATCTCCCTTTTAAACATCTATTCCTTTGATAGATTTATGTATAATTGTTACATGCCATACTGTAAATTAATTAATACATTCAATGTTGAATGAAGAAAATAATAAGCGACATCTTATGTTTGTATGTGTGTATGTTTGTGTATGTCAAATTTGTTACAATTGTATATTTGTACTTATGAACTTACTTATATGGTTTATAAAACATCCCTTCATCTATAATCATGGATAATAATGTAACGATATTATCAATGAATGTGAGGGGACTTTTCTCAAATTCCAAAAAGAGGGCAGATGTATTTGATTGGGCTAAGAGTAAAAATACTTCGATAGTGTGTTTCCAGGAAACTCATAGTAAAAAAGACATTGAAAAAAACTGGGAGGATGAATGGGGAAGCACATGTTTTTTCAGTCATAAAGACAGTAAAAGTGCAGGTGTCTCTGTTATGTTTAAAAAGGGTCTGGATTTTGTTGTGCATAATTCTGTTACTGATGATAATGGTCGTTACATTGTTTTAGATGTATCAATTTTTTCACAAAGAATGAGTTTTGCCTGTTTGTATGGTTATAATACAGATGAACCTGCATTCTTTGATATAATAATGCAGAACATTTTATCATTTAAAAACACAAGTGTTTTATTATGTGGTGACTGGAATGTTGTTTTAGATAAATTTATGGATACATATAATATCAAACATAATAGAAACCCTAACTCCCGTAAAAAACTTGATGAAATCATTGATGTTTTTGAACTACTTGATCCTTGGCGTACATGCTATCCAGAAGATAGGAAATATACTTGGCGTCAGTCCTCACCTATAAAACAAAGTCGTTTAGATTATTTTTTAATTTCAGAAGACCTTTTTTCACTAATGAAAAATACTAAAATTATACCAGGCTATAGAACTGACCACTCAGCAATTATTTTCACCTTCTCAGCTTGTTTAGAGAAACGGGGCAAAAGTTACTGGAAATTTAACTCTCAATTACTCAGAGATGCAGATTATATACAAAAGGTTAAATTATGCATTAAGGATACTATTTTGGAATACTATCTGTCAGGTGATGTGGAAGATCTTCTTTCTGTTGATTTGTCATGTAATGATCAAACATTTTTTGAAATATTGAAAATGAAGATTAGATCTTTGTCCATAAATTACAGCATAAATAAATCCAAGGAGGAAAAAAATTTCACCCTCAAACTTGAAAATAATATTTTACATTTAGAAACTATTATGAACCATTCTCCAAATGAGGAGGTTCAAAAATCTTTACTTGATAAAAAACTTGAACTAGAAAATTGTCGACAAAAGAAGGTTGAAGGTTTGCTGCTTAGATCCCGCTCTAACTGGCATGAGAATGGTGAAAAATGTTCAAATTATTTTTGTAAATTAGAAAAGAAAAATTTTATAAAGAAAACAATAACAGAACTAATAGATGATAAAGGTCAACATATATCAGAGCAATCAAAAATTCTAACGGAACAACAAAATTTTTATAGAAATTTATACTCAAGCAAAAAATTAGATTGTGATGATTCATCATTTTTTAATCATAACATTAAGCTCACAGAAGAACAAAGAGATTTTTGTGAGGGAAATTTAACTTTTAAAGAGTGTGCTGATTCGTTAAAATTTATGACAAATGGTAAAAGTCCAGGTTCTGATGGGTACACAGTAGACTTTTATAAATTTTTTTGGAAAGATATTGGTCCTTTCATCTTTCGGTCTCTTCATTTTGGATACGAGGTTGGAAAATTTTCTGATTTTCAGTATCAAAGTGTAATTACATGCATTCCTAAGGAGGGGAAAGACAGACAGTATATAAGTAACTGGCGTCCTATTAGTCTTTTGAATACTGATATGAAAATAGCTTCTGCTGTTATAGCTAATAGACTTAAACCAGTTTTACCATTTGTCATAAGTGATACACAAAAAGGTTTCATCAAAGATAGATTTATGGGTGAGAACACACGCCTTTTATATGATTTAATGCACTATCTTGAAGAAAATAATAAGACAGGTCTTTTATTACTTGTTGATTTTGAAAAGGCCTTTGATTCCTTAGAATGGTTATTTTTAAAAAATTCTTTAAAAAGTTTTAATTTTGGGCCTTCAGTTTGTAAATGGTTTGAAACTTTATACTCAGGGGCATCAAGTTGTGTTATAAATAATGGACATACTTCAAAGTTTTTTCAATTGGAAAGAGGCTGCAGACAAGGAGATCCTCTTTCACCCTATTTATTTATAATTGGTGTTGAATTACTATCTTTAAAATTAAAAGATAATCCTGAAATAAGGGGAATAACTGTAAATGATAATGAATCACTTTTAAGCCAGTATGCAGATGACACATTCCTTATGTTAGATGGAAGGGAAATATCGTTGAGGGAAACACTTTCATGTTTTGAATCTTTTTATAAAATTTCAGGTTTAAAAATAAATGCTTCAAAGACAAAAGCACTATGGGTTGGAAACAAAAAGTATTCAGATATGATTCTTTGTCCTGACTTAAAACTTCATTGGTCACATTCAAATTTTAAACTTTTGGGGATTGAATTTTCTTTAGATTTAAACTGTATCACAGAAATTAATTTTGCCAAGAAGATTAAAGAAGTCTCTGCAATCCTGAAGAGCTGGCAACATCGTAAACTAACATTATTGGGGAAAATTACAGTAGTTAAATCACTTGCTCTTTCGAAATTGGTACACTTAATGACTGCATTGCCAAACCTATCACAATCCAGGTTAACAGAGCTCACTTCATTATTTTATAATTTTATATGGAGTGGAAAACCAGACAGAATTAAGCGTAACACACTTATTGGTGATATTTCACAAGGTGGACTTAATATGGTACATCTTCATTCCTTTAATATCTATTTAAAAATTAGTTGGATAAAAAGACTGATGTCAAACCCAGTTGGTGGCTGGCAGCAGTTGTTACTGGCAGACCTTATACAGTATGGGGGTGAAAGGGTTTTACATCTACAGAAAGAAAAGCTGATTGAGATTTCTAAAAAATGTAAAAATCCTTTCTGGAAGGATGTTTTACTATGCTTTTCTATCGCAAAACCTAATACTGAGAATTCTGTCAGTGACATTTTATCATTAGATATTTTGAACTTTTCCTCTTTGGATGATTTCCCATATTATATTCAATGGAAACAAGGAGGTGTGCAGTCAGTAAGTGACCTAATTAATAAAGAAAATATGAATTTTTATAAATTTGAGCAATTTCAAGAAAGAGTAAAAATCAACAATTTTATCAAATATCATGGTCTGATTTCAAGAATCCCTCATGATCAGACTATGAAAAAATACCTTAAAGAGAACTGTTTAAAGCAAGATTTGGATAAGCCTGATAATGGTGATATTTTTTTAAAGAGAATTATAGGTAATGTGAAAGCCAAATTTGTATATAAAAATTTAGTAAATAAAGTTATTGAACTACCAACAGTCAAGTTTTCGAAATGGGAAGAACTGTTGATTATTGATACAACAGAATGGTCAGAATATTTCAGGATAACCAAAAAATCATGTAGAGATGTTTATTTAAGAACTTTTCAATACAAATTTTTGCATAGAATCATAGCAACTAATACCTTTTTATACAAAATTAAATTAAAAGACACCAAGATGTGTACTTTTTGTAAACTTGGTGAAGAAACCATTGAACACCTTTTTTTTGAATGCCCAATAACTTTTCAATTGTGGCAGTCTTTTTCAAATGCAGTAAAACTTTTTTTTGTAAACTTTGTTCTTAACAAAGAGAATGTGTTTCTTGGTTGCAAACATGAAAGTTTATTACTGAATCTGTTAGTCATAATTACAAAAAACTATATATACAAATGTAAATTAAATGAAACAAAACCAAATATGGTTGGGTTAAAGAATAGAATAAAGAAATACCAATTTCTTGAATATTATATTGCAAAGAAAAATAATAGAGTCCAAGTGTGTGAAAAATTTTGGTCTCCTTTACATGTAATATTTAATTAATTATTGTTTCATATAAGTGAGAGAATAAAATATCTATATATCATGAGCAAATATTTAGCCTTGAGTTTTTTTTTGTTTTTTTTTTTTCTTTAAAATATTTTGTTTTTAAAATGTAAGTCAAGATACATCATGTACATATTGTAGCAAAGCAAATGAGTGAAGAGTATTTGTATTGTATGAGAGAAAGTCAGAGAGCGAGAGAATATAATCAAATAAAATTTATATGTAACCTTAAATACTACATGTATAATTATAAAAATCAACTTGTCAGTGATATATATTGTATACTGAATTATTTTTTATATGTAACCCCTTGATACCCTTGTCAGGTGGTAGTGTAGGGGTACATGTATATTAAATCCTGACTATTGAAAAACAAATAAAAGATAAAAAAAAAATGTGACTGTCATACAAGTGAGAGGTTTAGCTAGCTATAAAACCAGGTTTAATCCACCATTTTCTACATAAGGAAATGCCTGTACCAAGTCAGGAATATGACAGTTGTTTTCCATTCGTTTGATGTGTTTGAGCTTTTGATTTTGCCATTTGATAAGGGACTTTCCGTTATGAATATTCCTTGGAGTTCAGTATTTTTGTTGTTTTACTTTTTTATATGCACTAATCTCTCAATGACAATATATCACTTGACAAAAGGTAGGCATTAAAAGAAGAATAAACACAGAAAATGAAAACAATACAATAGCAGGAGTGCTCCCCCTATATAGGATATTCCAAATAAGGAGATATGGTAAATTGGGCAATATAACAACTATAGACAAATTTTTCATAATGAAGAAAATATATGTCAACCTATATCTTAAAGATAGCTCATAGTCTCATCCATTGGCCAAGGAGCAATAATATAGAGAAAATTAAAAATCCCAGGGTAAACCGAAGATAAACATTAAATACTGAACATATTTTGATTTATGTCAAAATAAATTTCTATAAACTTCTGAATAGTATGCATAGAAAAACACCTTCCTAGAAATTTACTGTAAACCTGAAACTTAATGTCTGGTTATGAATCGTCGGATGGATTCAGATCAAAATAATCATTTCAGTTCAAAGTCAATTAAAACATGTGAGAAAATATAAACATCAGAAGTAATTAATTGGTAAGAGTAAATGAACATACCATACGCATGCTTCAATCAATATATTATAATAGTCGACAGTGTAGCTGGTTGCCTGGACATGAAGATCTGGGAAATTACCAGCAACATTTATATTGTACTCCCAGTTAACCTTGCAAAAAAGAGGGGAAAAAGAATATATATTTCGTACTATTTCTTGAGATGAATATCTAAATACAGGACACACCTTTAAATTTAGCCATTTCAATACTATTGTAAAGAATTGTAATTCCAAAGCGTAACTTATACACTTTTTTTTTCAATTTAAAAATGATGTTTTTCAAATAAGGAGAGTCAAAGATTATATAATAATATATCTAAATAAAATTGAAACATTAAGGTTTTCTTCAATATAAAAAATAATAATAATATAGACATTTTGAAATTTTTGGGTAGTAGTCTTTATTGAATAGATGAAATTGCTTTTTAGGAATAATTGATTATACTTTATCGTAGAGATTATACGTATGAATATTGTCAACTTATTTTCTGATACCTGGTCGGTTCAACCAACATTTTATGTATAACTTTTAATGCAGTTGTTAGGTATTTATCAAAATTGCATAGTTGAAACAGCTCTCCTCAACTGTTGTTATCTTAAATTTAAAGGGTCTTGCTTTCAAAACTTAGCAATTTTAAAAACAGCTCTTGATAAAATTAAAATGATTGATCACAGGAAAGAAAATTTCTAAACACATGTATAGTTTCTTGTTATGATTTAAAGTTCCAATAATTTTCAAAGATTAATACAGTGAGTTCAGACATTATTTACAAATTCATGTAACTGTAATAACCCAAATGCATGGAATCATCTCTTTTTCTAATAACTTACAGCAGCAACAATATTACCAGCACCTTGAACCTCGATTGTGATGCCATTCTGGGCGATCTGATCAACATTCGGCTAGAAATAATAGAACAGAACAATAAAATTGAAATTGTAAAAACTGTTCATTGGAGGTCTTCGGTTTTCTATATTGTGTTTTGTGTACTGTTGTTTGTCTTTTGGTCTTTTTCTTTTTTGCAAGGGCATTGGGAATTGTCAGTTTATTTTCGACTTATGAGTTTGAAGTTCCCTCTGGTATCTTTCATCTCTCTTTTATAGACCATTCAAGAATTGTTGGATAAAGTTCTTTGATTGTACATGTAGACTTAGCAGATAGGAACATGAGAGGGACGATCTAACCAACCTTGAACGTAACAAGAAAAATGTACTAAAAATCTCATATCTTTCGCCTCTCTTTTACAATTAGCACAGCAGGCTGGAATTACATAACTAAACAAACCAACCGTTTATCAAAAATAAATGCATGCATGTATTATTGTGAATCTTCGACTAAGGACGATAAAGAAGATAAACAAAATTATTACACTGGTGCGAAATGTTCCCGTTGTCGCTGTGTAAATATTGAATAAAATTGTGTGTATAGTATAGAATTGTGGGAATAGAGCTTTTGTTTTTGTTGCTGTAATTCTTTTCATTACAAAGTATTTCTATATTTTTGCAAATAAGGATAATACTGGATTTCTATATATGAAAGGTAAAGTGGGAATGAACAACAAAATATCAGAGATAAATTGAAAAGGTATCTTACTAAGGATTCAGCAATCAAATTACCTATTACTGACAGTATACAAGTGTAAGTTGACTGCCAAGCAATCTGAGTATAAGCATCAATTAAAAACAGAAAACGATTTAAAGAAAATAAAAATTTAGCTCTGAGGTTGACACTTTTTCTTAGAATTACTCAACTTATTTTACCTGGCTAAGATGCCTACGTTATAAGGGTTATTCTATATAAGAAAAAGTAAATAGAAAAATTGTAATTATACATGTATTATAAAATGTGACTATAGACATTCCTTATTTATCAATATTTTTAAACAGGGTGTGTTATTTTAGACACATCTAATCAGGTTAAATGTATAAAATAGATTGTTTGATTTACCATGTTTTTTGACTGTAGAAGTATCGCGTTGTCATTATTCAATGAGAACGTAACATCCTGTTGGCCCATTGATTTAAAGGTAACTGTTGCAGCTTTTTGTCCACCTGTCAATTTTTCAGCATAACTTGACAAGGCTTGAAGGCCCATTACTGTGTCCTAAAATTTTCCAAAAAATATTTACTTTGTAAGCAAAACATCTACGATTCAGATATTATAAAAGTGCATGTATTCTTTTAAGTTTTTTTATACTACAATTACAAGCTTATTATATGATCCAAGTGCCTTCTTAACGTTATCTTTTTTCTCAAAATTTGGCAGTGGAACTTTTAAAGTATTCTGAAGTATTTATCAAAGTCTTATATAATATTACCTGAGTAGATAAAAATCCGCCTTTTCCATTAATCTGTGAAATCATCCATTTAGCAATGGGTCTACCACTTGTCATATCACCCTTTTTAACGTGTGTCAGCAAAACATATGCAGCTGTTTCTATTGCAGATGGTTTAACATCATATGTGCTGTACATTTTCTGATTTCCGACTTCTTTTTTTTTCAAGTCACACCAACATCTTACATCACCTTTGGTTGATAAAGCAAAATATTTTGACTAAGTTTTTATACAAACCTTTCACCTTACATACACAAATATTGAAATATTTTTTTAAGTCTAATATCAATCGTCAAACATATAATTCATTGGTCATTTTAAAGTCTGGATATGAAAAAAGAAGTTTTGAAAAAGTATTTTTTTTAAATTCTATCATAATTCATATTATGAAGTTTCGTGTCTTCTGTTTGGACTTGTCTAGAAACATGTGCCGAGTACATTGAAATCATATCATATGTTCATCTTAATGTTGATTTAACGAAAAAAGAAAGAATTGATATATATTAACATAAACAAATTATTTATGCTGATAAATAATTAACGGAGGGGAAATACATTTTTTTACCGTCTTCTGAAATTGTTGAAACACCATTTAGATCAACCAAAACGTTGGACAGCTCAACTTGGCTGTTGCCAAGAGCAAAACAATATGCTAGAACTGCTCTTTGGAAAGCCGTAAGACCTGGCGTTTTCTTATAGAATTCCACCAAATACTGTAAAGTACGACTTGCATCGAAGCTATCTGGAATCTAAATGGAAAGAACAAATTATTTGTGTTGCTGTAAGCAAGGATTATTCACTGTTACTGAAAAATAGATACGATAAATCAAAGAGCTTGATGGTTCTGAGGGGGAGGGGGAGGGGGAGGAATTCAATAAAAAGAAACCCCACTGAACCAAAACTGAAAATAAAAAAAAGTCACCTTGGCAAATCATGTAGTTGTTTAAATCTAATTATCTAATGTTCAACAGTTATTCACTCTATGTCGCTTCGCATTAGTAAACGGTTTCAAAATAAGAATATTGGTATATTTCCTATAACTCCAATCGTTCATGTGGTAAAGATAATACAACTCCCAAAAATGACAGAAGAACTAAATTGACGAAGCAACACGAATCGAGCTAACAGTGCCGCAATTTTGTCAAGGTAAATTGATCCATATGTTACTTGAAGGTGAAAGTGTAAAAGTCAACTCAGCCTAAAGACAATTTGGCTGCTATAGAAAAAGACAAGTTGTAATGATCTATAACATTGTAGCATCTGTAAACTCGAACAAAATTTAACTCTCTATACATTCTTAGTGTTGTCCACTTCAAGGGTTTTACTTTGATTTTTTTGTAAAGAAAGGACCGAAGAGTATTCGAGCCCAATTTGTAATTATGCATCGATAGTAATCAAGGCATTCCTTTTATTTTCAAAACATCATTCGGCTTAGAAAATAATATGAATTTCGTATAACATCAAGCACTTCATTTTCATTCCGATTCATCTATTTGTGAATCTTATTTTGCTATACATTTTTGAAACTAATTTTCTCTGTATTTATTATAGTTTCTGCAAAAGTGGGTACAATAACTTCTTTTATGGTTTTATTTAAGATCTCTGTCAACTTGAGTTTTTGCATCCAGGATCACAGCATCGACGATCGACATTCAGATAAAATATGTAAGTTTATGGTTCTTTCGTCCGGTCCGTCCTTCCGTCCGTCCCATTATGGTTTCAGTACTCTAACTTAAGCTTTTCTGATCTCAATTTATGATGCTAAGAATCATAACTAGCATACACAGTTTGAATTTGGCCAGTGAGTCACTTACCATTCTAGACTTATGCCCCTTTATAACTTGGAAAATTGCTAATTGTTTCGTTTCAGCACTCTTAACTTAAGTTTTCCTCATCCAAATGTTATTTAACTCATACACAATGCTAAGAACCACAACACGCAGTATGTCGTCAATTGTTCTAGAGTTATTCCCCTTTATAGCTTGGAAAATTGCAAATTTTAGTTTCCATACTCTAACTTATGTGTGTCTGGTGTAAAGTTAATGAAACTCATACACAATGCTAAGAACAACAACACACAGACAATGTTCGAATGTGGGCAGTGAGTCATTTACCGTTCTAGAGATATACCGATTTTTTAAACTTGGAAAATTACAAACCTTGAGCAAGGACACTCGTGCCCATAGAGCTCACCTGGGCCAACCCCCCCCCCCCCCCACAGATTGGATTAAACTATTTACGCATTGGCTTTTAAAAGGACACTCATGGGAATGTATTATTGCTATTTTAGGAAATTCTGCATACAAAAAATGTTTTAAAATTTGAGTACTTATCATGGTACATTTATACTTATATAAAACCATTAAAACGTTGATTAAATTAAGAGGCCCAAGTGATAAACTAGAATGACATATATATTACAGAATATGTTATCTTATATAACTTACCGCAATCTCTGCGTTTTGCGTTTCTTTAAAGGCTATATATACATAAGCTGTAAGCATTGGTCCTGCACTGGTACCAGTCTTAAAAACAGAAAAAGAAATATGATACATGGCAAAACATCAACCTTGAACTCAACAAGAATAAACAGCTGCGCCATGAGCGCATGATACGTCCGTCATGTTTTCAAAGAATACTAAGAATAAAGTTCAATAACTTCTCAATGTCATATCAGAAATTTATGAAAAACTAAAGGGAGGTTATCTTTATAGATATAAAACAGTCACTAAAGTTTCATGAAAACTGCTCATAGCACTTTAAAGATATCGTCCGAAAACTGGAAAATCACTCTTTTTTTATTAATAAAATCCCATAACTCAGAAACGTAAAATCTAATATTTATAAAAATCGAAAGGGATCTTACCTCAATAGATATAAACAATTCACAAAAGTTTCACGACAGTGCTGAAAGCATTTTTGAGTTATTGCCCGAAAACTGGAAAATCCCCCTTTTTTCAATGAATAAAATCCCAGAACTCGGAAACGTAAAATCTAAAATTTATAGAAATCGAAAGGGATCTTACCTCAATAGGTATAAACAATTCACAATTCACCAAAGTTTTCATGAAATCTGCTAAAAGCATTTTTGAGTTATTGTCCGAAAACTGGAAAATCCCCCTTTTTTTTAAATGAATAAAACCCCATAACTCTGAAACGTAAAATCTTAAATTTATAAAAATCGAAAGGCAGCTCACATCAATAGATATAAACAATTCACCACAGTGTCTTGCAAATTGGTGAAAGTGTTTTTGAGTTATTGTCTGAAAACTGGAAAATCCCCCTTTTTTAATGAATAAAACCCCCTAACTCGGAAACGTAAAATCTAAAATTTATAAAAAACGAAAGGGAGCTCACGTCAATAGTTATAAACAATTCACCAAAGTTTCATGCAAATTGGTTAAAGCGTTTTTGAGTTATTGTCCGACATGTTGACGACGGACAACGGTATACCATAATACGTCCCGTAAACGAGTGTATAAAGATAGACTTTTAAACCTCGTTATTAACATTTTAAAGATATATCTACTCATCACAAAGTAGAATTAGGTTCAGACAGTTTTTAGATCAAGCTGTTGACTACATACCACTAGTTTTGATCTGAAACAGTCATTTTGGTTAGAACCGCTCTTAAAAACTGGGCACTTGATTTTTTAAGTCTTCATTCTTTCAGTCAATTTCGTACTGTTCAGACAATTCACTTGCAGTCAATTTAGATCTGTTCAGTCTATATTCAGACTGTTTAGTACTGTAAACACCGAAATTTCCAGGCAGTTTTTTATTTTCGCTTTTTCCGTGGTAAGAGTTGAAACGTGAAAATAAAAAGTCCTAGAATATTTCAAGGAAAACCGATTCAAGAAAGAAGACCATACATGTCCGTATATAGAATATGTAGATAACTAATTTATAACATCGGTTGTACAGACGACATATCTATACCACTTATCATACACGTAACTATATTTCTAAATGAAAGGCAATATTAATAAACTGTTGACACAGAGAACTGTCTCGCCTGTCCGCATAAAAATTCAGAAAAATACAATCTGATGGACAGCAACATTGCTTTTTAGTTCAAAGTCGCTGTACCATGATCTTGTGGTGAGTGCCTAGAAATGGTCGACAAACTGAGATGTACTGATAGTAATGCAACTCTATACAAAATATCATTTATCTGTCACAAGTAGTTCTTATCAAACTGACTTAAGCAGGAAACTTTTAAACATTGAAAATTGCTAATTAATTCAAAGTCACTGGACCATGACCTAGGGTACAGGGCCTCAAAAGTCATCAAAAAGATATGTACTGATAGTAATGCAACTTTATACAAAATTATCATTGATCTATCACAATTAGATCCTATCAAACAAACTCAAGCAGAAAAATTAACATTGAAAATTGCTTATTAATTCAAAGTCACTAGACCATGTCCTAGGGGCCAGAGCTTCAAAATAGTCGTCAAACTAATATGTACTGATAGTAATGCGACTTCATACAAAATATCATTGATCTATCACAAGTACATCCTTTCAAACTAACTTAAGCAGAAAACTTCACAATTGTTGACGCCACCACCGCCGCCCGCCGCAGCCGTCGCCGGAAATGCAATCCCTATGTCTCGCTTTCCGTGACTTTCGTCACAGGCGAGACAAAAAATATATAACTTTAACTGATGGTAAAAATTAACTTGGAATACATGCCAAGCAAGCTGAAATTATTGATATTGTTATATAAACAACACCCGTGACAGTCAGGTAATGAATATGACGAAAAGATTGATTAATTAGCCGTAATCCTCGCAGCTTCTTATTCGCTCTTATTATAGCAATTTTTCATTATTACTTGTTTATGTGTTTTTACAAGCAAACGTAAATGTAGCGATTTAATTATACTTACTATAAGTCAAATAACTTTAAATCTACATGTGCATTAATGAACCGTACACTTTGTTAAGACAAAAAGGTGTTCTAGTCAATTTTCAACACTTCATTTAAGATACATGTAGAACTGTATCGTTTCAAAATCATTATTAATATTTGCAAAGAACCCCTATTAATCGCAAATCCATACAGCGTAAAATATTCCCGGTTTACAGTAGTTGTTATTTACCTGTACACATCAACATCAATTGAATTGTCTGACAAGCTACTTAACAGTACTGAAATGACTGCAATCAAATGATCTGAAAAGTACTGCATTTACTGCAGTGAATAATTCTGAAAATTAATTGAAAGACTGAAAATGACTTAATGATTAATTGTTCAGACTTTTCAGATGATGTTTAGATCAAAATGACCGTTTGAGACTAAAATTCATTTACTAGTGTAGCTAAGATTACTAAGTGTAGTTAAACCTCTATCACAGAGGCAACAAGAGAGGCTGATACCACTGAACAATACAGAACGATAGATATAAAACGCGTTAACATGAAAAAGTTGTATACAGACTAATAAAAAGGTATCTAAGAGACAGAAACGCTCACCTGCCAAAAATTTATCTTGTATTGATGAACATTTTTAGTATTTACAGTTTCCACCTATCTATTATTGTTTTAGAGATAATTGACAAAACTATGTTAAAGGTATCGTCGATGCTGTGATCTAGTCTCTTGTTTAGCTAGCTGGACCTTTTAGACTGATCTCATTTTCAATATTTTCATCTTTATACCAAATCTTTTAAAACATCTTCAGGACGAGTATCAAAACTTGGGATAAGATTTTTTCCCCAAAATGTAAATTTTTATTCAGGCACAATTCCTATTTTAACAAAATGAGAGAGAATATAAAAACAGACAACACAAGGATTGAAATGTAGATAGTTGTTTTCATTACAATTTAACTCAAACAAATATCAGAGTTATTTTCCTTTTTAAACCCCCCCCCCCCCCCTCTAAAGCTTAATCTGAGAACAAAGTTTTCTTTTTAAAATACATGAAGTGGTCAAATACTTGAAAATTAACCGATCTAATTGTATTTTTTGGCAAAAACTTCTAAATGAAATAATCATATAATTTCATTTATAAGGGTCTTTTTGTAGATATTGTATTGCTGATGATTTTTGCTGTTAACAGTTTCAACCCATCTATTACAAATTTAAAATAATGGGCAAAAACTAGAAAATTTAGTAAAAAAATCGTGATTTAAGAAGTCTTACATGGGTTTCGGTCTGACAAGAGTTTGTGTATTGCTGATCATTTTTGTTGTTTATAGTTTCTACCAGTCTATTATAGTTTTAAAGATAAAGGCATAACAGCAAATTTCAGTCAATGAGCTTCATTTGAGGCCAATAACTCCAATAATGAGTCATCCTATCGTTTGGGTCAGATAAACATTTTTGTAGATCTTGTTTTGTCAATAATTTTTGCTGTTAACAGCTTCTACCTATCTATCATAGCTTTCAAGATAAAAGGTCAAACTAGAAAATAAGCAATACAATCTTTAAAGGGCAATATCATAACTCATATAGGGAGTCATCTAAGGGTTTCGGTCATAAGGCATTTTTGTACATCATATTTTGCTGTTCATTTTCTACCAATATATTATAGTTTAAAAAAAAGAAGAAAAAAACAACAAACTCGTCAAATAAGTGCAATATCTTCTTTTAAATGAAAAACAATGTGCAGTGGTTTAATAAAGAGACTTTGAAATTGTTTACGACAACAGTGGACAGCAAGTGATGGCAATAGCATTAATGGCCAATAGTGTTGCTTAAAGTGTCAGATAAGAAAATATTTTAACATTTTGACGGAAGAGGAAGAAGGCAAATATTGGCGTTCTACACATTTTTGCCCTGTAAGTTATACACCATCTATTATGGTTTTCAAAATATTTAACACATAATGCATTTTACCAATCCGTTCTATTTTAAGTCATGACGATCATGTTAGTTGATTGACTGGAATAAAAAAAAACACAAACTTCATACTAGAAACATAAAGGATAATTCAGATTAATAAAAATGAGAATGGAATCAAGTTTGGTTAAATTAAGGCCACAGTACTGTTCAAATCTCATAAATCGATACGGAAGAGACAAATTAAGGAAACAAACAGAAACTGAGGGAGTAGCACTAACTCCAGTAGGTGCGAAAACAGGTGATTCGACAGGGTAATAGTCCCCAGGTGCGTAGCTGGACTTAAATAAAGTGCAATCATAACTATCGAAAAAAAAATTTGGACCATTTTATGCAGAAAATGATTACTTTTTTCGAGCATTTTCCCGGTATGCCATGCTTTTGAAATTCACATCACTCCTTCACGCCCAAACTCCTATTTTGTGAATACTTGTGGACTTTATAGTGATTCGGCGAAGGAGGAGGCTATGGACCGCTCAAAGTCCGCAACAGGTCCAGGGTAGCACCCTAGTCGGGGATCCAGGGCAGCATCGTATACGGTGGTCGAGGGAAGCGAATCCCCATGAAGCTCGGGCATATGAGTAATTACAGTGACTGCTTTGAACATGAAAAATACCCTATCTGTTTCTTACTATACCATATTTTCATGAAACGATAGTAAAAGTCTAGTGAGTTCCGTAATTTGCTGCTTATATTAATAACATGGTTATTTTCAAATATAAAATAAATTTTATAAAACGGGAAGACCAGGAAGAGTCGACAAACGAAGCGTTAATCAATGAACAATTGACAAACCCGGGAACAGATAAGACACAAAAGGAGAAACAAAATCATTCAACATTGAAAACTAAATACAGATGAAAAACACGGACCAAAAACAACTATGTGGCGACCTCCGGTGCTCCGGAAGGGTAAGCAGTTACTGCTTCTTGCAAGACACCCGTAGTGTTTCTCACGAAAGTCATTCTCAAATCAAAGGAAAGGTTTCTACGACAACGGTAGAAGGTCATTTGGGACACAGATACCCCAGGTGAATTAATAGTCTTTTGGACGAACGGACAATAGGAATACGAAATCTAACGGCCACTTTTAAGTCTTGACTTATAAGTAAGGGAAATAAATCTGAGATGTTTTCAAGGTGATTGTATTGAGCCTGCATTATTAAATGTTAATACTGCATGTAAGACTTAAAGTATATTAATATCGAAAATCAATATATCTATTTTTTGCCAAGGCAAATGATCGCAGAACTCTCTCGGTGTTGATATCCATTTCTTTGTGAACATGTATGAGCGCCAACGAAGATAGTCTGTCCTGTACCATGGTTGAACGGAGAAGTTTTCGGTCGCCGTAATGCACTAAATGACCGTTCAGTAGTTGATGTAGTTACTGGCATTGTAACTAGAATTGAGAAGATTGCGAATATTGAAGGATATAGTTCCTTATTAGTCACTGCTAGAGACGACATCAGAGATTTGGGCTTTTAACACCGCCCAACACGATAATCTGTAAAGACTAAAAACTATCCTTAATTCAATTTCAGAATTTTTATTTTTTTTGTGAAAAAAATGTGCAAGCAAATGATTTTTTGCGTAAAGGCAGCTACGCGCCTGGTCTCTTGCAATGCATGCATCACCTGTCATACGAATTCACACGCAGTTAAAATGTCACAATTGGGAATTGGATACAATCGATAAAATTACAGATCCGACGACTATACTAGTATCTAAGACCGGGAAAACATATCGTTAGTGAGTTGAGACACCAACATATATCGTTTCGGTCAACCAATTCGTGATAGTGACAATAAAACGTTTGTAGTGACGATTTAAGTTTTTCTTTCCCATAACTTTGCTGGATCAGGAGCACATCCCATATAATTAAGTCCGAAAAGTGTGAACATGCACGAGCGTAACGTATTAAATGAGATTTGTAAACACCATACAATGTTACTGCTGTGAAATGTGAAAATGACAATTTGGAAGTTGAAGTCATCACGTTTGTAATATCATTTAGTTTGAAGACGTCCATATATGTCAATTTCCAGGAAAAAATTAAGATACGAAGCAGACCTTCTACTTTTTGTAGTATCCTTAATCTCAAGTTCAAGTTCACTAAGATATTTGAGATGTAATCAATCATAGAAATGTGGGTTATTGTGGGTTAAATTAGTCCAATTGTTTCAAAGTATAGGATCATTGAAAAAAATTACGATGATGACGACGACGACGTCGACTGCAGCGAACGCTTAGTGATAGTTATAGCTGACATGCCCAAAAGTGCCAAGTCATCTAAAAATTTGAGAAAAAAACATTATCATTATGATTATCATTATCACAAGACATATGCTATTACCATCATATCCTTGTGGATTACATTTCCAGGTTCATTAAACGACCCGTCTCTATTTGACTGCGACATTATGGCATCTTTAGCATCGGCTAACACTTTTTCATCAATGAAAATGAATTTGCTGGCCTGCGCAAAGGACTTCATTACAAAAGCAGTCAACCTGAAATCAGAGTTATCTATGCTTATCATGTATATGAATTATAATTGTCAGATTCAGCATGTTATCAATAAATATACTATCGTTCTTCACAGATAATGTAAATGGATGATTATAAAGACTTTCTGCAAGGCCAATTTATCGATCAACACAAATTAATTACACGTTTTTGAAAAACATTAGTTTAGCGACTTTATTGTGATGTTTTGCTCACTTGACATCTATGCATATCACAAACTGAATTAGAGAATTAGTTATGCAGAGCAATGTCACCCTGTGGTTTTTGTCGGAAGACAAACCATTTGATATAAAATTGAAAACAGACGCATTTCTAATGATTCTGTTAAAGACTGTTTAAATTCTAGTAGTTTCGGAGTAGAAAATAGTGAAGTCTGTAATTATAAATTTCATTATGCGTAAGAATTGAATATCGCTTGATATCAACTTGAGTTTTTTAATCTCATTATAATAATAAACGAGCCTTCAGCTAGTTTATTATTACTATTTAAATTATTAACGAGACTTGATATCAAGCGATATCAAATTCTCACAAGTTGTTAAACGTATTTCTCTTATGGTCAACACTTTTATGGCGTTGAATTAAAAATTCCGCGAATCGTTGATCTAATCTTTCACACAAACCAGCATGACGTCATATGTCCTGTTCCGGCATCAAACTTCAACATCAGACATTTTAAAAAATTGTGTACGCTTCAGAATGAAATAAATTTGTTAAAAAGAAGATTTCCAGGTGAAAAGTGTTTTTGTTTTGTTTTATTATAGAAGAAATCCTAAATTCCCGTTGCCATGGACGAAATGTACATCGTCTTATCCTCTGAAAGTTATCAATGACCTAACGAATATCCAATGGAAATGTCGTAATATTGTCTCATGATGCTGGATAGGCTAATCAAATTAACGCAGTTTTCGTATCACTTTTTCGTATCACATTCCGTGCAGTGTGATACAAGAAATATCTCTTCATGCAAGAAATAGATAACATGCTACAACCATAAGAGAATTTTCAATAAGGTTATATGTGCAATTATGTAATGGCACTAAAAGACATATTTGTATAAGGGAGACATTTTTACAAGAGCCATAACTTGTCCATGAAATTGAAAGAAAAAAAACCAAAGTACAATTATTCAATTCTTTCAAAGTAATGTAATGATATATGATAGGATAATCCAATATAAACACTCCAATTAGGAAAAGTTTTTACGTCAGAATGACGTCATTAACATGTTAAATTAAGGCGACAGGAGACTACTTATGTCAAATCTTGTAACTCGATTTTTTAAAAGAGGCAAATCAAGATAAGAAAAACAAACTGAGGGAATGACCTCAAAAAGGAGAGAGACAGGGTTCGTCGACTAAGTAAGGCTCTCCTGCTAGCATGCATCAACCGCCTAACGAATTCACACTCAGTCAAAATGTCACGATCAGGAATAAGACTCACTTGCTTATCTACAGATCAGGCAATTATACTGGTCTGAGACAGCGAAAACATGTTGCTAGTGAGTTGAGACACCGATAAATAGATGAAATTGACATATCTACGTTTTAAAACTGCTCGAGCGAACTCGCCTTTAGTTCTGAGGTTCTGTTGGTTCGATTATTGGACAGGTCAATCCAAATTCTTGATAATTAGTATTTAATGTTCATCGTTTAAGAGCACGAAATGAAATAGGAAAAGACATGTCAGATCGGAGACAAAATAATGTGTTCGGGTAGGAAACAAGTTTTCCTGCTGATAGTTCGAGATTGGTCTGACGTCAGACAGCCTTTTTAAAGGACTTTCTGGGGCCAAGCAACCCAGACTTTGGGTGGCAAGTTTCTGTCTCCAAATGGTAAAAAATCCTTTTTCAAGTAGAAAACTTAAATTCCAATGTGAAACTTTTATTCAGATACTAAATCCTTATACATTTCAAACTTGTCATTGTGTACATACATGTGATGAATAATACATGTTTCCCTTCTTCAAAAGTTTACCTCTTAGGCAGTTTCTGACATTGTAAGGTAGAATCATGACAAATATAAGATATCCCGTGATACATTTTGCAATACTTAAGAGAACGAGAAACAAATTATGCTAATTGATCTATCATTCTATATATAAAATACCTAGATAATAAATAGTCCCAATACACCTAATGTTGCTGTGTTGAAAAATAATAACATGAAAATAGATTTTTTTTTGTATGAGTTCAAGGATATTTACCATGTTGTAAAGGAATTGTCGGACTTTCCAAATGCACTAAAACCTCCGTTTGGGTGCTTGTAGTTAAGTTCCCGTTGGTAACCTATTAAACAAAATAGATATTTGATTATAATAAACTTTTACTGATTTGATTGTTGTAATCAATTTAATAAAAATAAAACATCTTTAACATTGTCAAGAGTATGCTTACTCAAGTTTCAGTCATCAGTTCCTTTAATCACAGACCAGGATTTCGTCAATTTATTTATTATAGTTACAGTGTCCGAAATGATTTAAACAAGACCAATGCCTGGTCTGGAACTGAGTCCTAGCTGCATGCAATTCATTGAGGTAGCATGAGTATTAAAGCATACCTGATGAAGATGATTTTCGAACCTATCAGCTACCAGGAAGTGGTATAATTTAATAATTGCTGAGTACACATTACAAATCAGTATTACAATACTCCAGACCAATACAAAATTATTCCTTTTATACAAGTGAAGAACAATTTGACGACAGTTTTCTACCAAAGGTCTTTCAAACAGATGGAAGGAGTTAAGCGGTTACTAGACATTTTTCGCCACTTGCGACGCAGTTAGAAGATAGAGAGTACATACGCTGAAATGTCTCGCCTGCTTTATTGACCATTGATTTCATGTTGATAGTCCTAAATATAAAGTTTTACTACAAGTATCACATTAACTTAACATGATCCAAGAAAATGAGGTCAAGGTCAGATAAACCAAGCCAGAAATACATGTACACCTTACAATCATTCCATGCACTGAATATAGTTGACCTATTGCTTATAGTATACAAGAAACAGATCAAAATGAAAAAATTATATTGACCAATGAATCATGAAAATAAGGTCAAGATCAGATGAACCTTGTCAGATAGACATGTACACATTACAATCATTCAATGGATCAAATATAGTTGACTTATTGCATATAGTATCTAAGAAACAAACTTAAACAGGAAAAATTAACTTTGACCAATGAACCATGAAAATGAGGTCAAGGTCATATGATACCTGCCAGACAGACATATACACCTTACAATCATTCCATACACCAAATATAGTTGACCTATTGTTTATAGTTAAAGAAAAACAGACCAAAACACAATAAATTGCTTTGCCAAGCGCAACTGGATACGACCGCAGAGGTCCAACCCTGAACAGTTTGGGCTAAAATGGACACAATATTCGCACTTGATTCAGGTCTGAATTTGGATTGTAATTAAAAATTTGACACATAATAGATTTCTGATACAGAATAACTGTAGTCAAAGAACTTAGAACTGGTTATATGATTTGAATTTATATTCAATTTTTTGCTTTTATGCAATACACTTTGCTGTTTCGAATTGACCCCTCCCCCTCCCCCCACAAAAAAAAAAATTTACCCCCCTTTTTTTCGCTTTTGTACAATACAATATACTGTTGCCAGTTGGACATGTACACCTTACAATTATTCCATATACCTAATATAGTAGACCTGTTGCGTATAGTATCTGAGATATGGACTTGACCACGAAAACTTAACCTTGTTCACTGATCCATGAAATGAGGTCGAGGTCAAGGGAAAGCTGTCTGACAGGCATGAGGACCTTGCAAGGTACGCACATACAAAATATAGTTATCCTATTACTCATTATCAGAGAGAAATTAACATTACAAGCAAGAGGCTCTCAAGAGCCCGAATCGTTCACCTGTAATTTTTTGCTTAAATCTTTCATCAATGATTATTTTTGCTTTTCAATATATATTAATAAGTGGCTTAAAAATGCCATTTAAATGTTCTTTGTATCTGTCATATTTTCTTCAAAAGCAAAAAAATGTATTTTACCCTTATGTTCATAGTTCATAGCCATAGTGGCTATGTTTCTTGACGTACAAGGAAATAAAAAACAAAATTTATACTAGATACTCTGAACTCATTCAGCCAAAGTTTGGCTGAAATTGATTCAGCAGTTTCAAAGGAGAATATTATTTAAAGTAAGCAAACTAAATGAACATATTGTGAAAAATTGTCTTTAAAGGACAATAACTCCTTAAGGGGTCAATTGACAATTTTGATCATACAAAAACGTATTTGTAGATCTTATTTTGCTGAATATTTCTAGTATTAACAGTTTATCTTTATCTATAATAATATTCCAGATAACCGAAAACTGCAAAATTTCCTTAAAATCATCAATTCAGGGGCAATAACCTATAAATCAGAGACCCTATTTGGCTGATAATTTCAGGGCAGATAGATTTTGACCTAATGAATACTTTAACCTCTTGTCTGATTTGCTCTAAATTCTTTAGTTTTTGAGATATAAGCCAAAAACTGTATTTTACCCCTATGTTCTATTTTCAGCCATGTCGGCCATGTTTTTTGACAAAACAGAAAAAAAAACCCCAACTTTATTCTCGATACCCTAAGGATCATTCAGCTTAAGTTTGTTTTAATTTGGTTTAGTAGATTCAGAGAAGATTTTTGAAATAGTTTACACCGAACGGACGACGACAGAACCATGAAAATGAGGTCAAGGACAATGGACATATGACAGACGGAAACTTCATAACATAAGGCATCTATATACAAAGTATGAAGCATCCAGGTCTTCTACCTTCTTATATATTAAGCTTTTAAGTCGTTAGTTAAAGCTGCCTCTGCCGCCACCGCCGGATCACTATCCCTAAGTCGAGCTTTCTGCAACAAAAGTCGCAGGCTCGACAAAAATAAACCACTTTAGTCTTGTCCCATAATATTAAGTGTGTTTCATAATTAATTGTTTTGCTTTTTTACTTTGCTTGAGAAAGGCAAAATCGTTCACATGAAAGAAAGTTAATATTTCATACTGTAACGTTCGCATAAGGACTATTCTTCCTGATGGCAACAACAAAAGGATCTTTCAACATTAAATTCATTTTCAAAACAGCTAGGGTTTCAACATTTAATCTGAGAACACACATAATACATTTGCCATTAAGTTTATTGGGCCTTAGGGTCCTTTGATGTTATTATGCAAACATGGGAGACCCAAATTTATACTCTTGATTTTTCTAAAGCCATGCCAAGAGTAACTACATCATAAAATTCTTTTTTAAACTAATTAATTTTCTAACAATTGCAACGCCGAATAGCTGACTCTGTTAAATGCATGAAGTTTTCCATTCGTTAGATGTGTTTGAGCTTTTATTTTGCCATTTGATAAAGGACTTTCCGTTTTGAATTTTCCTTGGAGTTCGGTATTTTTGTAATTTTGCTTTTTAGCAGCTACTTTCTTATTAGCCCTAAATCTGTTTCATTATTGACATACATGTAACCGTTTTAGAAGCTTTTTATCTCTTCAACATTTTCCCAACAAAGTGACTGTCATTGGATTTATCTACATTCTAAGCTTAGTTTAAAATGCTGAATTAACTAGTATTCTTGAAACCGAATAGGTAATTTCAAACCGGCCCTATGAGTATGTACTCAATTGGAAAACTCTTATGTTGAGTACCTAAGAATTTTCAAATTAACTTTACCTTGTTGCATGTTCTTCTTTGCCTTCTGTTCAATTTCCGGTTTCACATTTTTCACAGCATCCATGTAAGACAAAGCATATATATTTGGTACAAGAGAGATCATGTTTTGTTCTCCACATCCATATGGTGCTCTTATCATGGAGTCAAGATTTTGAAGAGACTGTCCAAATATATCACCTTAAATAGAAAAAAACACCATAAGAATGCTTATATCACATTGATATATGATTGAAAAGATATTATTCTGCCAAAATAATTCAAAATCGATAAAAAAAAGCATAGGTAATTTACATGTGAGATAACAAAATTCGTTTCGTTATTACATTGCAGTTGGTGCATAGTAAAACCAGGTAACCGGATCATAAATTATTGATGTAATACAACTATAGACTCCAGGGAAGCTGTATATCTTGCCTGGTATATAAAAAAGAACCAGAAAGAATCAGCCATATATATTCTGTAAAGGCTTTGTATTTTTTCTTGGAGTTGTCAATTAAGGTCAAAGGGTTTTAATAAAGTTACCTATAAATATATATATATATATATATACAACTCGTCTAAACATCAGCCCAACAATGTTAGATCTGTATTTGCTTTCGCAAATTTTTTGTTCTTCCCTCGCCGGGATTCGAACTCATGCTACTAAGATATCATGACACCAAATATATATATATATATATATATATATATATTATCATACATTATCTTTCAAACTTCTCAAACAACGGGTAATATTATAACCTAACCTGTAACAGACACTGTAATTTTCCTTGAATCTGGAACAAAATCAGAAGGAAAATCAGGGTTGACTATCAAAGTCTGTAAGGTACTTTGTGCTTCAAACAATTGCTGCACTCCACCATATTTTGTCTTTCCTTCAGGCTAAAAATAAAGAACGATTGTCTCATCTATTCGCAATGTAAAATGGAAATGGAAATAGTATATATTTCGTGCACCCGAAGTTTTCTGACTTATTTCTTCACAAGGAATATGTTGTGTTTTGTACACTGTTGTTTGTCTTAAGGTGGTTTTTCATTTTTTACCAGGGCGTTGTCAGTGTGTCATCGACGTATGAATTTAAATATTCCTTTGGTATATTCTCTTTTAGTTTTTTTAAAAAATTCCTGAATATATCAATTTGGAATTTTAAAAAAATAAATTATAAATCTGATGAGTACCGAAGCACTGTTATCAAGATCATTTCTGCATAATTTCATGCGCCCAAAACTTCACTAAAAGTCTCTTAACTACATAAATTATGCTTGAACAACACATTTGTTATATATAGCTAATATTGCTTATAATTATATCGCTCACTGAAATTTCCTCTTCTTAACTAAAAGTTCAATTGTGAGTTAAGTAAATAAAGAGCTGCACCATGATTGCATGATACGCCCATCGCTCTTTTAGGTCGTCTTTATGCTTTAAATGAATTTATATGATCAACTACAAATACTGTGAGCACTGCTCAAATAGGCCCTCACCAAAAAAAAAGGAAAAAGAAAAAAAAAAGACATGCACACACAGTGGTACCCATTGACACAAAACGACGATTTTCCATAACTCCGCAATGTCATACCAGAAGGGAGCTTATTTCAATAGATATACACAAGTCATCAAAGTTTCAGGAAAACTGCTCAAAGTGTTTCTGAGTTATTATCCCAAAACTGGAAAATCCCCCCTTTTTAAAGAATAAAGTCCCAATACTCCAAAACTTAAGAACAGAAATTTAAAAAAAATCGAAATGGAATTTATGTCAATATATATATAAACAATTCACCAAAGTTTAATGAAAATTGCTCAAAGCATTTTTATTTATAGTCAGAAAACTGGAAAATCACTCGGAAACGTAACATCTAAAATTTAAAAAAAATTAAAAGAGAGCTAACGTCAATAGATATAAACAATTCACCAAGCATTTTTTGAAACATTTTCCGAAGTCTTACCAACGGACGGACAACGGATTTTCATAATACGTCCCGTCTTTCAAGACGGGTGTATCTAAGTTGATCCCCCTGCAACCTCGCATCAAAATTGCAAATGTTTCAAAATGTTCACCAGTTCATTGTAATTTGGACCAATTTGACACCTTTTAGGTCCTTGACCAACAACATATTTTTCATTTGGTAATATCCAACAAAGGTTGCGGACCTTTAAAAGAACATATCTGCATTATTTGATTTGAAAAAAAAAATATTTTTTAACCTAGGTTTATTCTAAATTTCGACATTAGGTCGAGGCAATTTCAAATTTTAACACTTAAAGAAACAACGTTTTAAAAGAACATTAAACAAGTTTGGCTTCAATGCATTTAATATTTTGACCAATCGGTCAGCGAAATCATACAGGAACGCATGAGACCAAGTGACAAAATTAGTAAATACTTTCTTAAAAATTCCTAAACTACTATTTTGTATACTCTTCAGTTAACACATCTCCCTTTTAGTTTAGGTTACTCATATATTTTTGATACCTAGAACTATCAATAACCCAAATACAAAAACTTATGAGCAAGATTGCTACACCAAAGCAAAATGTCCCCCTCACTATATAAAAGACAAATTAAATTGTGTGTCACAATGTGTCATCAGTATAATATAGTCCCATTACTCCTGTCAAAATGCTCAAATCAAAATAATGTTTCAATATGGCCAACTATACATGAGGGCAAACTCTCCTACAAAGTACAAATGCTTTATGTGAAATGGACTCAGAGGATTTGCGTTCACAAGTTGCTATTGTTATAATACTAAAAAAAAATTGTCAAAGTCTCATTATTCCCATAAAAATGGTCAAATCTTACAGACGATTTACCACGGTCAGGAAAATATGACAACAAATAATCCTGCAAAACATGAAAGCTTTACATCAAACGATCTCTGAGTATTGTTGTGTTTTGGACGGATAGAAGGATGGACGGACGAAGACCATTATCATATCAAACGCGGCGCTTCGGATACATAACAAATGGTAGGTATATGTCAATTTAACAGCAACCCATTCAAATATGTAACATTTTCTTTATGTTTCTTAATGTTTGTTTTTCAAGAGATTGTTACAATAAATTACTTACATCGACTGATATAATTTTCTCTACAATATCGTTGACATCTGTAACCTGTGTTCCGCTTAATGCCTCGACTTGTATCATTATATTACCTATAGTAGTGGGTTTGACAAACACATTTATACCTTTAGACAGTCCAGCAGGAACCTACAAATTATGACTTTTTTCTTTAAAATATAGATTTTAACAAAAACCAGGCATACAATTTTTACTATAACATATACGTCCTACTACAAGTAATTATGAATAACATTCTGTCTCATTGGAACAATTGCCGAAACATTTATCAATATTTCTGATTGGCACAGCTGTCAACTGAATATTTCCAGTTATTACAATCTGAAAACCTCCCCGAAAGACTAGTAAAAGGTGAGGTAAATTTTAGCTTTTTTATGAAATCTTTAAATTTTTCTACTTATTAACCAAAATTAATTACATTCTATTAATCAGTAAAATATATTTTTTATGAAAGTTAGTTTAATTAAGATTATCAAATGCCAAACATGTTTGTGACACTTTCTTAATCATTGGTTTGATTAACTTGAATGTAAATTCGAAACGTCAGTGATGTGACCATTGAAAATGAGAAACATCACACAAAATTATTCCCAAGACATTTCTCCAAGGGATCCTGTTGCAGTTTTCGAAAATTTACAACTATTAATTGATCAAATTGTGAAAAAACATAATGTAAATTTAACACATATTAAGGTGGTACCAGACACCTTGACTTAAATTAATTTGGCTCGTTTAATTTTCATAAAATTTTGATAAAATATTTACTTTGACCCTTTGACAAAAATATAAACATTTCAAAAAACTTGAACCACACACTTTATCGGAAAAAATTCATTGGATATATAGCAATTTGACAAACACTTATTTTGATCATTGAGAAGCTTAATTCCTTAACAATAGAACTGCTGATTTTTACAGAGTTATCTCCCTGTAATGTTATGTACCAACTTAAACTAGACTGATCTGAACAAGTTCACCATAAAATACTATGATGATACCTTTCCAACAATATGAAATTTAACGAAAAAACACACAGCAATGAAATTGGTCTGGCACTTCCGCTTATTTAATAACTGTCATTTTGATATACATCATACCTGGACTGTTCCTGTAAAGTCAGAGTTTAAAGCCTGAGTAGTGTTGATTGAGTCTACAAAAATCATGTAGTCCTGTGACTGCTTCAGTGTTACACGTACCTAAAATGACAACAAATAATTTGATTCGAGTTTGTGTTTAAAATCTCATCAGCTGTTACGCTGTAAACAAATTAACAGCAAAATTACAGTCAATTTGAAAAGGGAAAATAAACTATTAGATCAAAAGTTAACCTATCTAATGTTATATATTTGGAACTAAGTTCTTAGAAATTATGGAATTTAACAATCAGTTAAATGACATACAAAATTATAATTTCTAATGCATATTACTTCAGTATGTTAAGTTCTATAAACTTGTTTAAGTTATTTAACACTCATTTATGTGTCTGTCCAATGTCTGGAGCTTGTAATCCAGTAATAGCAATGGTTGCCTTCTACATTAGTAGTTTTTCGTATTATTTTAAGCACAAGTAAGACGGTTTTCTCTTTTGATTTGTATAACATTTCGTCTTCCCGCAACAATTTATAGATTACCGGTTTTTTTCTAATTATTAAAGACCTTACAGTGACATGAGGTGAATAGTCCAGAAAAGATAAAGCCTCAAATATGCAAGGGACATAATTATTGATGCATTAGTCAATTTGCAATAATCATGCATTTGTAATAGAAGAACAAATTGGGTCGAGTATGTTTCATTGTTTTGTGTTTGTTTTAGACACGACCTCTAACAATTGATGTCTAACAATGGGAAAACAAATTTGCCGAAATTGCAGTATATTAATCACTCCTGTAATATTTAACCATTATCATGCATCCTTTAAATTAATAGTGTCTTTTTCACCCTAAAACATATCATCCACCATAATTTAGTAATGGTCTGAATAACGGGTCAATTATATTCTCTTGTAAACAAAGGTTACTGTGACTATTGCTGTAACCTTTGACATACCAATAGGAGACTTATTCTTTACACAGGGCATATTTAAGCGAAGTAATGTGTATGTGTAACATGTGATTCAAACGATAATATCAGCTAACAGGAATTGTCCAAATTTCAGTCAATCAATATGCTGTGAACCTTATCTTTAATCTAGTGGGTCCAGTCACTAGGGTTCTAAAAAATTTACTGTAAGATTATAATCAATGTACGAAATCAATTAATTTCTCAGGGCATATGGTTGTGAAATTATATGATTATTTAGGTTAGTGATTATTACAGTACATAAACGATTGTTGCTAGGAGGAAGAACAAAGCATCCGAGTTATCTTTCCTATACCAGATTATTTTTTTCATCGTGGCAACTTTGAACATTTCTGTCATATAGACATTTTTTTTTATAAAAGTCGATATTACAGAGCGAAATATTTATTATGTCTCCGATTTTAATAATATATATACAATGTAATGTATTTTTTATATGAGATATTTGTAATTTCATTTCTAATTTGGTTGTGATTTTGTTTGTATCACACATATTGAACCTTGAATAATGATACTGATAGTTAAAATCCTCAAGTATAACATTATCCATGGAAAATACAAACTTTCTGATAATATCAAACTGTTGAATTTACTAATGCAACATTGTTTTCTAATTGCTTTCATGTTGTCTCTAAACAAAAACAATTAATTTTTAGCAGTACACTAACCAATATAACTGTTTCTATAAAAAGACACACAACCAATAAAGAAATTGTCCTACCAAAACCAACCGTTCAATGACAAATTGAACAATAAACGCTGATACTCCCACCTCCTTTATACTCAGGATAATCTACAGCTTGACATGGTTTTTGAAGACATATCTATTGTTGAAGACATTATGTTGACACAAGTTTGTCTTTCGGGATTTCATCTAGTCCTAAACTATATCATGTTATTCAGTTTGATATTATTTCACTAATCATAGCAATATATATATCAATTTATTGCACTTACCGTCTTCTGATCCGAAAAATAGTTAAACACAACAAGTTTAATTTTGATTTTGTCTCCACGAACTGCTAATGCAGGCAACGAAACAACAACAAAAAATTGCTTAAATCCTTCGACCTGTTCAAAGTAAAAAAGATTTAAATACCATGAAACAAAACTAAAGTCAACTTCAAAATGTCAACATTCAAAAGGAAAATAAATGCTACTCCGTCAAAACTGCCCTTGACCGCTTTAAGTGTCCAATACATTACCCTGAAAATTGGCTGTGGAGTTACAAAAGACATTGCGAGTGCAACTAAGCATATATTTACATTTTACCTTTACAAAGATTTTATTGATCGAACAATGTTTTTTCTACAAAATATGAATTAAAACATAAATTCTCAACCTTCTCAGACATAATTTATTAACGGTTTTGGCCAAATGGTTTACGAGAAATACCATTAACATAGTGTTGTTTTACTTTAAAAGATGGTTGAACTCGCATACCTCCTGCTTAAATTGTAAATCATAATGGTGGTATATAAGAATGAGAGAATAAGAGAATATTTATTATTCCAATCAAGGGCCCTTGATGGGCAGCATGACATGTACACATAAAACAATACATCATGATTTGTAACAGAAAAACATTTTTTTTTTATACATTGAAATGAAACATTAAAAAGTTCAGACATGTTATTATCTCCATTCTATATAAATCACATACATTTAACTCCAGGCAGGACCAGAACCATAAAATCATTACAATTATCATTGTTATTACATACCGGTACATTAATTTACATTTCGTCTAACATCTAGACATATAATAATATAGTTCCCTACATATTTAAGTACAGACAAATTTTCGGTATAGTATTTTCAACTACACATGATGAAAAACATTATTGTCTCAGTAAAATTGTGGTTATACAGTGTTACAGACGAACGGAAGAAGACTTTTAGTATGTCCATTTGTCGCAAAGCAGCCGAACGACAACACTGTTTACTTGTACACATACACACCACATATAATGGTCATACAAGTAACAAAATGATGAAAGCAAGATTCAAACATATTATATTAGAAAGGCAATTAAACCGAATATTAAAATGTTATATCATAAACCACATAACATAAGCTGTAACAAACTTTCATTTCTTTAGTTGCATACCCTCTCTGTTAAGTTTTAATTTTTAGTTACTTCTTACCTGAACATTTGTTGCAATACCAAGACCATTTGTAGGACTTATCGCAAACCCACGAGTTGTCCATGCTGTGATTGTGTCCGGTAGTTTAAAAGTATTTTCGTATTTACCATCAGCCCTATATAATAGCAATCGTTACCAGTTAATTAATTAATTTGAAAATTAGTTAAATGCATATAAATATGACATACTGTCAAAAAAACACGAAAGCTACTCAGCAGTTGGTATACAGGATATGTGATTTTTTAATCGACGTACTTAGGTTGAGAAAATTTTTCAATTTATACTTGCGCAGTTCTGTTCTAACTGTTTCCGCTAAAAGAATCCTGTCCTTAAATGATCTTTGCGTCTTTGAACACTTACTTGCATAAATGATAAAAGAAACTACCAAACGTATTCCCTGGGATATGCTCATTTATCGTATTCAATATTTAAGAAAAATGTTCCACAAATAAGAATGTCATATAAACATATAAATAAATACAAAATAAAGAACTGCAAAAATATTGAGTGTGTATCTACAGAGAATTTGATTTTCAATATAAAACATTAAATGCTTAAAAAAGTTGAATCAAGTGTCTAAGTAAATGGTATAATATAGTAAAGCGTAGCTCAAATTGTCTGTAGCAAGCTTTATAAATATACAAGTGTAAAAAAATCCAAGTTCAAATTTGGCTGCAAAGTACGTTAAATTTCAGAACTTTTATAAAAATACTGTTTTACTTCATGATTAATTTCATTCATTATGTTGCGAAATTCTTGTTTGGAATAAAGTACTATACAACAAAGGGAAATATATGTACGAACACTATCAACAACAAACAGCAAATAAAGCATGTGAATTGCTCTCTTTTAAAGACAAGGGCATATCATACATGGTGATTTGTTGGGTTGATTTTACATATTCCATGCATATGTTAGATGAGAACATGCGATGATACTCAGAGAACCAAATAGTATTTTGTAACACAAAACTGCAAAAGGAAATACGTAAAATCCAGGATCAAGTTGATACCTAAATGTGAATCAATAATACCTAGATGGAGACAATGCATAATTGTATTCACCTAATATGACAGTGAAATCGAAGACCACAACAACAACAGTTGACTATTATTGTCAGAAACAATTTACCTCTTTACCACAATTATCTATAAAAATCAATTCCAAAATGAGGTTTTGCATGTGCAAAATAAAGGTGATGGTTATTCGTAACCACAGATTCATTTTTTTTTCAAATAGTCAGCCATACCCGTTAACTTTACATTTCTTTTATTATTTGTTCAGTGAAACTTGTACATAAAAGGAAAAGGAAAAAACCTGTTCGGAATATTTACCCAGTGGAATCATCTATCCATATCCACGTTTCTGGAAATTTTTTTCGAACCTGATTGGTTGCTTCTGAAGGATCCCTGCTTACAGCTTCATTAACACTGTTAGTTTTAATAACGACATCTCCTCGGACCATTGCATTTTCTACCATCTGTTGCTCTGCATGTAACAATAATGTTCGTACAGTGCAACCGTTTAAATGAAGCATGTAGATGTAATAGGGGAGGAATATTTGACAGATATGTGAACTGACGCAGGGGTAAACAAAACCATGAATGTCAGAGTACCATATAGAGATCAATTCACTTCCATAAAGTATTGATATGATGGAAGCATTCATCTGTGCATCAAGTGAAGTCGTTTTAAGAAGCGAATTCAGACTTAAATCAGAAAACACTGAAATAATTGCATAAATGTATCAAATATTATCTTAAAAGATGGGCAAGACAATCTATTCTTTGCTTTAAGTAAGATGTTGTTCAACTTCCTTGTAGTTTTAACTTCATTTAATCATTACTATGTTGTTTATTTGGACGAAATCAAATCGTAGATTTATGAATAAAATGAGATCTAGGGAATACGTGAATGCAACAGTATCCAGAGACAACAATAACCAAAATAGGGCTCCAAGTGCTCCACGAAACCTCTTTCTAAATTATCAACATCAATTTTATCAGCAATCAAAGCCGGGCTTCAAAATTATTGTGAAACTACCTATTCTAGAGGTGGTGTGAATCAGATGTCAGGGAGGGATAAATCGTACTTTGTAAAAAATCACTCTGATTCAAACAAAAAGTCTCTGAAACTGACATTATCAAGATGCTTGATTTCTTGATTGACAACATATTTGAGGACGTGTTTGTTCAACAAATAATCGGCATTCCCATGGGAACCGACTGTGCTCGTCTTCTTACCGACTTGTTCCTTTATTCATATGAGGCTGACTACATACAGGAACATCTTATGTAGAAATAAAAGAAGTTAGCAGTATCCTTTACTTCACTTTCCGCTATATAGATAATGTTCTCTCACTAAATTATTCAAAATTTGGTGACTATGTTAAAGACATTTATCCAATGGAACTTGAGATAAAGGGTATAACAGATACAGTTAAGTCTGCCTTATATCTTGACTTAGATCTAGAAATTGACAATGAGGGTGGGTTGAAAACAAAACATTACGACAAAAAAGATTATTCAGCCTCCCAATTGTGAACTTTTCATTTCTATGTAGCAACATTCCAGCAGCTCCTGCATACAGAGTATATATTTCCCAGTTGATACGATATTCCAGGGCGATTGCATTTTCTATCATAATTTTCTTGATAGAGGGTTGCTGCTCACAAGGAAAATATGGAACCAAGAGTTCAAAGTGGTGAAAGTTGAAATCATCCCTTTGTAAATTTTACGGACGCCATCACGAGTTGGTTGACCGTTGTAGAATATCTATTTCACAGATGACAACGGATATGTTCCAATTGTCGTAATTATAATCCCGTCCCCTTTTCCCCGAATGTGACCTACCGAATTAGACTTATCACCGAGTTTGTACTTACATGAGCAACACAACGGGTGCCACATGTTGAGCAGGATCTGCTTACCATTCCGGAGAACCTTCGATCACCCCGGTTTTTTGGTGGGGTTCGTGTTGCTCAGTCTTTAGTTTTTCTATGTTGTGTTTTGTGTACTGTTGTTTGTCTTTTGGTCTTTTTCTTTTTAGCCATGGCGTTGTCAGTCTGTTTTCGACTTGTGGGTTTTAATGTCCTTTTAATGTGTCTTACGCCTCTATTTTTATGTTAAATATACAGTCTACAACAATCGACATGTTTCAAAATGGTTTCAAAATATAAATAGCCCCCAAAGACTATATGAATTTATAATTCATAAACTAAACAGATTTTTAAAATCTCCCATCAGCCATTAACACCAATTTTTAAAAACACAAGAGTGCACACGCTGGATTTCTCGCCTGCTTTACTGACCATTGATTTTATGTTGATAGTCCTAAGTATAAAGTTTTACTACAAGTATCAAATAAACTTCAACATGATCAATAAAAATGAGGTCAAGGTCAGGTAAACCAAGCCAGAAATATATGTACACCTTAAAATCATTCCATACACTACATGTAGTTGACCTATTGCTTATAGTATACAAGAAACAGACCAAACCATAAAAATTTAAAATTGATCAAAGAACCATGAAAATGAGGTCAAGGTCAGATGAACCATGCCAGACAGACATGTACACCTTACAATCATTCTATGCTTTAAATATAGTTGACCTATTGCACATAGTATCATAGAAAGAAACTTAACCAGGAAAACTTAACATTGATCAAAGAACCATGAAAATGAGGTCAAGGTCAGATGAACCCTGTCAGACAGACATGTACACCTTACAATCATTCTATGCTTTAAATATAGTTGACCTATTTCACAAAGTATCTAAGGAAAAACTTCATTTACTTAACATTGATCAATGAACCATGAAAATGAGGTCAAGGTCAGATGAACCCTGGTAGACAGACAGTTACACCTTACACTCATTACATGCTTATAGTATACAAGAAACAGACCAAACCATAAAAATTTAAAATTGATCAAAGAACCATATAAATGAGGTCAAGGTGAGATGAACCCTACCAGAAAGACATGTACACCTTATAATCATTATATGCTTTAAATATAGTTGACCTACTGCATATAGTATCTAAGAAACAAACTTAACCAGGAAAACTTAACATTGATCAATGAACCATGAAAATGAGGTCAAGGTCAGATGAACCCTACCAGACAGACATGTTCACCTTACAATCATTACATGCTTTAAATATAGTTGACCTATTGCATATAGTATCTAAGAAACAAACTTGAATGAATCAATGAACCATGAAAATGAGGTCAAGGTCAGATGATAACTGCCAGACAGACATATATACCTTACAATCATTCCATACACCAAATATAGTTGACCTATTGCTCATAGTTTATGAAAAACAGACCAAAAAACAAACACTTAACATTGAGCAATGAACCATAAAAATGAGGTCAAGGTCAAATAAAACTTGCAAAACTGTCATGTACATCGGAAATATTTCCATACACCAAATATACTTGACCTACTGCATACAGTATTAGAAAAGCAGACCAAAACACAAAAACTTAACTTTTACCACTGAACCATAAAAATGAGGATCAAGGTCAGATGACACCTGCTAGTTGGAAATGTACACCTTACAATCATTCCATACATCAAATATAGTAGACCTATTGCTTATTGTATCTGAGTAATGGACTTGACCACGAAAACTAACCTTGTTCACTGATCCATGAAATGAGGCCGAGGTCAAACGAAAACTGTCTGACAGGCATGAGGACCTTGCAAGGTACGCACATACCAAATATAGCAATCCTATTACTAATAATAAGAGAGAAATTGAGAATACTAAAAATCTTAACTTTTTTTTAAGTAGTCACTGAGCCATGAAAATGAGGTCAAGGACAATGAACATATGACATACGGAAAATTCATAACATAAGGCATCTATAAACAAAGTATGGAGGATGTAGGTCTTCTACCTTCTGAAATATTAAGCTTTTAAGAAGTTTGCTAACGCCGCCGCCGTCGGAACACTATCCCTATGTCTCGCTTTTTGCGAAAGAAGTCGCAGGCTCGACAAAAAATCATCTAAAAAGAACGTATAAAAAAAACTAAGATAAAATGACATTAGAAAACTGCTGACAAGGATCCTGACTAAGGACAGACACCTGAATATGTGGTGCAG